ATCGGACAGTTGACTGATGATATAATGTACCGATGAAATGTGTCAAAATTATGATGCACAGGTATTTTGACACTTTCATGCATGCAATGCCCGTTGAACGCTCTGTATATTTTAGGGATGCACCGAATATTCGGCCGCCGAAAATTTTCGGCCGAAAATGGCCCAAAAGTGCATTTTCGGTTTTCGGCCGAAAGACTTTTATCACCGAAACAATACGGCCGAAATGTTGTGATGACGCAAACAGAAACCGCGACCTGCACGTGCTTGTCTGAAGCAACATGTCTGCGGTGTGGACGTATTTCAGTGTATCTGAACCCGCGATGAGACGGAAAAGCTTATCCACCTATAAACAATGCGTGCCGCCATGACGACGACTCCGGTTCCGAGCGGGTCAAGAGCGGTGCGCGCGCTGTCTGTGGAGACACGCGCTGCGGAGGCGAAAGTAAACAAGGTAGCGCGAGTCTCCACAGACAGCGCACGCACCGCTCTTGACCCGCTCGGAACCGGAGTCGTCGTCATGGCGGCACGCATTGTTTAGAGCAGGAAACAATTAAAAATTATAAAATATAGCTGCAAGCAGCCATTACCGGGGCCAAGCGCAATAAGCGGCAACATATGCCAAAATGGCAAGGAGTGGCAGACCAACTGCAGCAAGGAGCAATTAAGGGCATTTTGAGCGAACTTTGGGCAAATGGCTAAGAAAATCACATAAACATTAACTTATAAGATGATTTAATGGATTATCACTTTCGAACAATAGGTGGCGCAGTTACGAAATAGATGTGATGTGGTCAGAGTGAGGTGACAATGACATATACAAAGTTTGGTGTCAAAATGTGAAGGCATTGCAGAGATAAAGCCTAAATAGTCATTTTGGCAGCATGCCTCAAATTTGATGCTGTGGTATACGAAAACGGTTTTGTCTATCGTCACGCAATCCATATCTTTTATTCGGCACCGTCTGGAGATGATACGATTCAATTTTCGTGAAAATCGGACAAACGGTCTAGGAGGAGTTCGAAAAAGAAGGTTTTTCAAAGAAATAAAGATGGCGGACAGGAAGTTTGGCTGATTATGCAAAACCATATATCTATGTTTTCAGCATAACCCAAGGAATCAATTAAGATCAGTTTCATTGCAATAGGCACATTTTTTTTCAAACGTTATTAGCGTTTTCAGAAATTAATTATGACTTTTGACCAACAGGTGGTGCTGTCTCAAAATCTTTTGAGTACCTTCAGGGCATGCTGCTTATGGCACACACTGAGTTTTGTAATATTACACCAATGCATTTGTTTAGCATAGCATTTTATTTCACAAAACTCTATTGAAGTCAATGGGAATTTCACGTTTTGTTCTATTATAGCGCCACCAAGAGGCTCAGTCCCACAATTTTTTTTATGTGTCCTCAGAGTGACCCCATACATATGTGTGTCAATTTTGGTGAAAATATCTCAATTCGCTTCCATGTTATAAACATTTATATGAAAAAACACGTAAAAAATGACTGACACATGACTTTGTTTGAATTTTACTACCCCTTACTATCAATATTTTCGCATTTGGGCATTAGTGTATAGTTAACAAGCTATGATTCCGTGTTTCTGGCGGTGGTTTCGTCTCGATCGGAACAGCGGTTTTGAAGATATCGCCAAGTGTTTTTTTCGCGCGCTAAATCGCTACGCTACGCCATCCGTGAGACGAAACCCGACATATTTGGTATCGTTGGACTCGGCAACGATTCAGGACCTCAAAAATATGACTCCCGTGAAAATAAGTGTACCACACCCAAAGTTATAAGCGTTTGAATAAAACAATTCACCACTAGGTGGCGCTGTTTCGAAACTTCTCAGGCTCCTTCAGGGCATCGTACTGATGACCCATACCGAGTTTCGTAACAATTCGTTCATGCGTTCAAAAAATACAGCATTTTAGCACATAATTCAAAATGGCCGACAGCCAAAATGGCCGATCTGGGAAAATTGGATATCGGTCGACTCGGCATGATGCCCTGAATCTAACGAGATGAAGTTTATGATTTTTGGACAAACCGTTCAGAAGTTACGAGCAAAAATAGCCATTTTTCATATCTCCGGACCACTAGGTGGCACTGCGCCGAAACGCAGCACGTAGCCTCAGGTCATGCTTGTGATGACACGTACCAAGTTTGGTCTGAAAACGAGTAAGCGTTGCGGAGATACAACCATACGTCTGTTTTCGCAAGCGCTACGTAAATTTTGTTTACGCGTTAATCGAAAACGGTTATTCGAATCATCTTGAATTCCATAACTTTTTGTCAGCACTGCCTGGAGATGATCCGGTGCGATTTTGGTGAAAATCGGACAAACCGTCTAGGACGAGTTCGCAAAAGTAGGTTTTTTGGAAAATTCAAAATGGCGGCCGTTTTTTTATGACGGAAAATGACGTCATAGGGTGCGATCGAATCGGCATGAGCTCAGGAACAAGAGGAAAAAAGAATTTTGTTGATAGGCCTTACGGTTCAAAAGTTATTAGCATAATAAAAGTGAAACTTTGGACAGTTGGTGGCGCTAGAGAGAATGAGTTAGAGACACCAAAATTGGTGTATTTAAAGTTGGGACTGTCCTCTATCAGAATGTCAAACCAAAACAACTTTCCCGCAAACCGGTCTATGGGCTGCCATAGACGCCCAGTCGGAAGAAGAATAATAATAATAATAATAATAATAATAAGAACCGGAACAGATACAATAGGTGCCTCCGCACCTTCGGTGCTTGGCCCCTAATTAGACTCGCGCTGCGGAGGCAGGCGAAAGTAAACAAGGCAGCGCGAGTCTCCACAAACAGCGCGTGCACCGCTCCAAACGGTCGAGGCGTTTATACTTGACGCGCTCTCCGTTGTAACTGTTACTATGGGCTCTATGCACGGCGTTATTTCCGGTGAAGGATTAAGGATGCTCGATAACTTCCGCCGATCATAGAGTCCAATGCAATACCGAGAATTTATATTGAATTTTATACTCCATGGTTATACTAATGAAACGTTAGTCACAAAAACAGATAAAACAGACACCCCTCGTTGTGTTTATGCTTCTTTTTAAAATTATATTAAATAAACATAACTATATATAAAATTACATCTAAACGTATGTACGTTTCGTTTCAAAGACGGGAGGACAGTAAATATTGAAGACTCTGCCATAATCCCGTTTTCTCCGGTTTTCCTCCGCTTTAATCTACACAACCGGAAATGGACGAGCATCCTTACGTCAAATGCGGAACTTATGCGTGCATATAGCCCATTCCTTGAAACGACAGGGGACGACTCAAGTACTGTCCTCTCTAACCATCAGGAATCGGTGAGAAGAAGACAGATAAATACATGACAATGTTTATTTTTTAGTATTCCACCACCAATACAAAAATAATCATGTAAAACCCAGTAAACCCTGAGATTATTACTTGTGACATTACAAAAAAAATATGTATATGGGAACATGTATAGAACTAAATTAATGCTCTCTTAAATATTTTCTACATTCACTAAAAATGTTTCATTAAGTTTCATGTACATTTGTATTAAACATGGACCATTGTAAAGGCTTTTTATATTGTATGCTAAATTTTTTAAAATGTAACTAATTTAGACATGCAAACTGGGTGCTAGTGTGATGAGAAGTTTGCGCTCGGCTTTGTTTTTGAGAGAACGTTTCATTTTAAAACCTTTCTGCAGGCCAGTAGATTATTATTTAGTGTACATGAGTGGGGTCAAGTTAAACATTTTAGTTTGAATTTTATTTTATACTGTGCATTGTGCTAAATATATATTTGCATAATTTGTAATTGATTTATTCTTTGAAAATGTTATATTAATTTATGCAATTGCAATGCCTTGATTTTAGTTAAGTTTGTACACAGTCATAGCCATAAATGCAATGATACTAATAATTGGCATAATTTCTTTCGGTGTTTCGGTTTTCGGTTTTCGGCCTTGGTTTCCTCTTTTTCGGTTTTCGGTTTCGGCCAAGAATTTTCATTTCGGTGCATCCCTAGTATATTTGTATAATATTTAAAAAAACTAAAGTGTTTTTTTTTTTTTTATGTTCCAATTGGGACACATAATTGCAGAGAGTTCAAGTTTTGGATGCATTTGTTAAAATAGGCAAATGATATTGTGATATTTGGTATCAAACGAAGGCCCTCTAATCAAATTAAACCATAACTGTATCATCATGGCATGATATTGTATCAAGGAGAATGATTGTCGTGGTGAACCAATCATATCACAGGATCTCAGACTTTGACTCAGGCGTTTCAGAAAGAGCAAACCAACATTGGTCATCCGATCAGAATGATTTGGTGTAATTCCCTCCAGAAGCGTCTCACACGAACACCAGCATCCGGACGCTCATTTATTCGTGCCTTGCAAGTGCATATGATAAATGTCATGTGTTGTTCCTCATTTGTAAGGCGCGTGGGATAAAAGCTTGGGCTAAATGAATGCATGCACTGATGCAGTCAGACAGTGAAGCCAGCGTGTTCTCTTGTCTTATTGTCTTTTTTTATTTTGGTGTAACCAGTCTTTACATCTCATCGCATTCAACTTTGGCTGCAAACAAACAACATATTTGGGTGTGAAATATTTCTCTTGCATAGTGATTGTACAGTGTGCAAATTCTGTGAGAGCTTTGTTAGGACTGCAAGAGAGATGCATGAAGATGCATTTTCTATGCCGATATTTAGTTGATGAGTCTTGTAAATGCTGAGACCTTGAGTTTGACAGCCAGTACAGATGCACAGGAGCTTCAGTCGTTTACGGTCTTTTATTCAAAAATAAATATACATTTAATTGCATGTGTTATTTACTTTTTAAATAACTTTATTTGGCCATAAGTGAGTCCCTGTTGGTCGACCACTAGTGTCTCTGCGCTGCTTGCTGGGAAATGTCTGTTGGAAACTGTGTAAAGAGATGACTGTGCTGATTGACCCTCAGACCGCTGATGGTGTGTTGTGTCCCCACAGCCGGGACATGGAGAGCAAGGAGACCCTGCGTGGGCTGCAGAAGATGGAGGACCGGCCGGAGGAGCGGCTGATCCGGGAGAAGCTGAAGGCCACCTGCATGCCCACCTGGAAGAGCGAGTGGCTGGAGCGGCGAAGCCGGAGAGGCCCGATGGTGAGACCACACCACACCAGGCTCACGCGCTTCACTGCACACAGCACATCACGTCCACAGCAGGACAGTTTCACACGTGTTGCTCTGCATCCAGCTGTTAGTGATGTAGGAACATGTCCCATAACCAGGCTATTATACAGGGTTTGCTTTGACCTTAAGATCAGGCAGGCCACCGGTGAAATGTAGTTTTGGACACATCTATTACTGTTATGCTCATGTTAGATTCAGTTTATTTTGTTACTATTTTTCTGCGATTGTGTACCAAATACACTTTTTAAATCAAGTTTGTGTAAGTCTGTTAATAGTAGTTCATGCGCTATGAACAACACAAACAATTGTATTTTATAAAGTAACATAAACTTAACAAACAAACAATAATTCTTTATACAATTAATCTTTGTTAGTCCGTGTTAGCTAATGTGATTAACTAATGTTTACAAATTAAACCTCATTATTTTATTATAGTAATAATAGTTATTTTAAAATATTAAATATAATTTTATAATATTAATTATTATATGTCAAATAAAATATCATTACTATATTATATTATTAATAATATTACTATTGAGATCTTATTTCTTTTTATTAATATAATTTTTTAATTATAAGTGTAGTTTTAACTCACATGGCCTCACAATCATTGCCTATAAATGGGGGTCATTTTGAGTAATTCCATATAAAAAAGGCATTCAAAATTCAAACTCGCTTTATATTTTAATTTTTAGTTTTTGTTTTAGGTTGAAGTTAATTTTATAATGCTCTGAATTATGAAGATTTTTTATATTTTTGTTAAATGGTGTAAATTAAACAGACTAATTGAGATATAAATATAAATTTCTAGTCAGAACACATTGTCACCATTGTCTTCCAGTTTATTCATATGGCATCATTACTGATTCTTCAGTACATTACTGATTTTCTACATTACTACAGTTAACAATTAAATCACTGGATTATTCAGCTAGTTAACTACTGTTAATGGTTAAATCGTTGGGTCAGATGCGCTGTTACAAGAAGAAGCCGAACATTGGTTGGAGTAAGGAACGGGAAATGAGGAGTTTTGAAGGTTTCCTCTGAGAGCAGCAGGCCTTCCTTACATAAGCTTTATTACAGCCGACCCGGTTGAGGAACTGCACACTGTGTGCTCGAACTGCAGTTTAACTTGGGGCTGGACACTCAAAGGTCGTTTATAACAAAGTTGTCGACTAAAAACTGAAAACTTTAAAAACGCTAACTTTTAAAAGCTGGTTTCAAAGTGCAAATTTTTGAAAACGATACCATTATCGTCTCCATAAACTACGAAAACATGAATTTGTGAAAATATCATGAGCATGTGTTTTTCATAGTCAGTCTAATAGTGTTTCTTTTTAGTAATACAAATCATAATCTCAATGTCCACTTCTTGGCCAATATGACTCATCCCCACAAGACAAAATCAGAGCTCAAATGAAGTGTGATGGAAGCAGTGTCTGATGTGTTTGTGTGATGTGTGTCAGGTAGTGAAGCCCATCCCTCTGCGGGCCGACGGCACTGAGGCGGGCAGCGACGGGCACAGCTCGTCCTCCTCTCAAAGCAGAGGCCATCGCAGCCCTTCTCCTGGACCGTCCTCGTCGTCCTCCTCCTCCTCCTCCACCACGAGGACTGCTGGGAAGCCCGATTCTCCTGGGCTGCGCAGGCGGAGAGGCTCCCCAGTGCCTGTGAGTTTGGCACATTTCTATTGTCTTCTGCTGGCATGAATTTTGTTGTTGTATAGATGTGTGTTTTGGGTCTGGTTTTCACAAAAAGTGATCATGGATGGAAATGTGCCGGTGCTGAACATGCACTGCATTAGTGTGAACACTTCAAAATACAGTGAAGAATTCTGGATACCTTGTTACAGATTATTTAGACTTTTAAAATGTGTTTTCAGAACGCTGCTTTCCATCAGGCGGTTAAATTTAACAGCAATGCATTGATGATGCGTCAAACTTTCAGTATTTCAGAGTGTCAGATTTCACCCTCTGACCTTAGACCAGTGACTCGTATATACATTATTCACTTTGTTTACATTAGAAATAAATCAATAATGGTAATGAGTTTGTTTTTATATTACAATATTTCTGGGAGTTTGTGACATTTTTTTCTATTTAAGTGATCTGAATGTGTGTTACAGAGTGGCAGGGTGACGCCCCCCCGCAGAGCTCCCTCCCCTGATGGCTTTTCCCCATATAGTCCTGAGGAGACCAACCGCAGGGTCAACAAGGTCATGAGAGCCCGCCTCTATCTGCTGCAGCAAATTGGACCCAACTCATTCTTGATTGGCGGAGACAGTCCTGACAACAAATTCCGGGTGTTCATTGGTCCACAGGTATGCTATGTCCCTATAACCAACGTGTATAAGTCCTGAGCAAATGCACTAGTCAAAGAAAAACCCTTAAAGGTCTTCAGGCCCCTGACACATCAATTGCCTTATCAGTAAGTATGAAATTGAGAAGTTAAAATGATTGCATTATGTGAGAAGAAACTAGGCATGGAACTAGAACAGCTTGTAGGAAATTGGTTCCCAGAGACAAATACATATTTCAGTGGCGTGATACATCACGAGATTGTCAACCGCTTTCATGGTGTCTGAAGTGTGTTAGTACACCACAGGGGAAACCATGTTTGAACTGCCATTTTACTATGGTTGGTTTCAGTAAATCAATCTATGGTATTTGAAGGGCTTACTAAACGTTAGTCCACCAAAATGTTACTGGTCGGTTAGTCGCTGAAAAAAACAAGCAATTGGCGAAGTGAGGCAGTCTGTGACGGACAGATCGTTAACTGTGGGTTCTGGTGGTAATTACAGTATGTCGGGCTCTAAGGCTATGTTCACACTGCATGCTGAAACGACCTAATTCCGATTTTTTTGCCCCTATGCGACCTGTATCTGATTTTTTTGATAACAGTCTGAACGACACAGATCCGATCTTTTCAAATGCGACCCAGGCCACTTGGGTATGTGGTCTAAATCCGATATGAATCCGATCTTTTGAAATGCGACTTCAATCTGAACGGCCAGGTCACATATATCCGACCCGCATGTCATTGCAGGCACCTGTAGCTAGCCAATACATGATAATTCCAGTGCGTTTCCTCACTGTTATGGGCTGCTGCAGACGTGTCTCTTCCCCAGTGTTATGCCTGAACGCGTTCATATACTGTATTACTGCCTGATGAACATTACTGTGAACACGTTCATTGTTGTCTGTGAACGTGCGCTCTCTGTCAGTTTACTTCGTACACTAGGGTGCCAGATTGATTTCTATAGAGCCTTCCAGGCGAAAACTTTGCTAAAACACATGTAAACATGCCTTAAAATGTAGCAAAAAAACACCCAATCTGGCAACACCAGCCACCAGTGTCGCACCGCGGCCGCCGGTGACAAAGCAAGGAGCGCCGAGGACGCGCACTATCATTTATGTTTATAATTAAACGGGTTTTATGACGAAGTCGGTGAGGATCAGAAAAATCTTACATTTATGTGCAAACTTTGCCCGTCGATAAAATAATTGTTGTCTGTGTTTGTATATGGGCTGTGGCAATAATAATAATAATAAAACAAAAGCTTGCAACAATATGGGAAAAAAAAAACTATTCCGCAAACAACAAGTGACGTCGTTGACTGTTGATTACTCTTCTGCGCATGCGGGTCACTTCTGGGTCATTTCACGTTCACCCAGGAGATCACAAAAGGTCGCATTTAATTGGAAATGTTAACGGCCTTGCAAAAAAATCGCATTTTTTCAAAAAATCGGAATTGAGCATTAAGCTCTGCAGTGTGAACGTAGCCTAAATCCAAACGTTGCGATCACTTGCACTCTTTCCTGATAACAGCGGAAACAACTTAAAATACTTATTTTGGTCATACAGTTAAGAGTAATACATCATTCAAAATGTACTCATTTTATTTGTATAAACTCACAATAACAAGAAACGTCCACTTCCTATAGCTATAGAAAGCTTGAAATGTCAACAAATACTCTTTGCTTATGTAATCCACATGAAAGGTGCATTTCTCTCTAAAGGTGTGTCCACTTCGGCGGAGATGAGTCAGCATCGTCAACTTCACCTTTGCAGCGACACTGACTCAGAAAACACTAGTTTATTAATAAACAATTAAATTGTCTTCTTGCTATTTTTTCCAATACGTTTATAATCATTACTTTTGCCGATGCATTGCGGCAAGCTTTATGCGTGAGTTTAGGCGCATGATAGGCCAAATATTCCACCCCAGTATGTATATATAAACAATTCAATGAATATAAACATGAACGACTAGAAATATCTTTAGTCTGCTGAAATCTTTAGCCCTGGTATTTATGAAAATGGGTAGTCTAAAGATTTTTTACTAAATGGCTCTGTTTCCTCACTGACTAATATAGTATATAGACCTTAACATAATTGTTGCTTACAGTAATATTTAGTTATTCCTCATATGATTTCCCTTGTGTTGTGTGCGATCCCAGACCTGTAGCTGTGGGCGAGGGACGTTCTGCATCCACGTGCTCTTCGTGATGCTCCGGGTCTTCCAGCTGGAGCCGTCAGACCCCCTGCTGTGGCGCAAGACCCTCAAGAACTTCGAGGTGAGGTGACCGTGATCCAGCAAGGGCACTGGGCCTTTCCTCACGCTCCGAGATCACTCATGCTTTCATTTCATTCAGGTGGAGAGCTTGTTTCAGAAGTACCACAATCGGCGCAGCTCACGCATCAAAGCTCCCTCACGCAGCACTATCCAGAAGTTTGTGTCCCGCATGTCCAACTCACACACGTCATGCCCCTCCAGCGCCTCCCCATCCAGCAACGAAAGCAGGTTGGTGATGTTAGGCTGTTCCTGACTTGGGATCTTTGTTTTATTTGCTCTTTTAATCATTCATGTTTTTAGTTTAATTAGTTTATCACGTATTTGATGAAAAAAGCCCCTAAATGAAGAGTCTTGTTGGTTTTTCAGCACCTTGCGCCATGAGCACCACAGTTTTAAGATGCTGTTAAAATAGGATAGTTTAAAATCACTCACCCTCATGTTGTTACTAACATATGTGAATTTCTTATGCTGAACACAAAAGAAAATTTTAACCTATTTTTGTCCATACAATAAGTCGGGGTCCAAAACGATCCTCGTTCACACAGATCCGTGAAAACAACAAAAACGCTGTATTCATGCCAGGCCAGTCGTCGGCAATGTCACTTTGTATAGAAACACTACAGGCTAGAGGCTATAGACTGAACACGTAATACGCATGTGCATGACGTCACTGCTTTCACAATTTCACGTTTCTGTAGTTTACACTGAGATGTTGAAGTATCCTTTAAAAAAATTGCACTTTAAAACATTTGACACATTTTCTGGCTGGCAAAACGCACAAAAAGCTTTCTGTTAGTTGAAAACGGTCTTTTAAACAGTCCCTTACATTTTAAGCATCTTCATTATTTGTCTTAAAGAGATACTCCACTTTTTTTGGAAATAGGCACATTTTACAGTTAAACTGTTGGGTTTCACCATTTTCGACTCCTTTCAGCCGATTTTCTGATATTTAGAAGAATATCAGTAACCAGACAATTTCATTGACTTACATGGTATATATTTTTTCCTACTATGGAAGTCAATGAGACCAGAAACTGTCTGGTTACAGATTCGTAAACGGTAAAACTCAACTGTTTAACTCTGGGGAAGTTATAAAATGAGCCTATTTCCAAAAAAAGTGGAGTATACCTTTAATATAAGCAGTTAAGCAAAATCATTCAATCAGAATTCATAGTTTATTGCCATTATGACATCTTCCCCCTATCTGTCCGTGTTGCCTCCATGAGCTGACTGGGCCAGCCAAGTTCTTGAACCCCAAATACTTGTTGCTGTTGTTATTTTGTAAATGTGTACAGTGATATTGATACACCTGTGTAAAGTCATTAAGTTGTGAAACGTCAGATCAAGTAATGTTTGAGTTCTAAAACTGTTTTCATGGTACAATCTCAAACGATATTCTTTGATTCCTCCATATGATTCATTTGAAACAGAGTAGATTTTCTCAATGCATCACATCACACACATAGTACCTTTTAAAACGGAGCCTGTGTTTACTCCTGTGAGCAGTATGAAGGACGAGGAGGAGCAGATGTGTCCCATCTGTCTGCTGGACATGCTGGACGAGGAGAGTCTGACGGTGTGTGAAGAGGGCTGCCGAAACAAACTCCACCATCACTGCATGTCTATATGTAAGTACCAAGAGAAATATCAGTGGTCATATCCCAGATTATCCCACACCACCTACTGTGATATTTAGAGTAGGCACAGGAACTAGAATTGACTTCTGAATCTGAGGGAGACTTCGAGAGCCTTTTCGGAATGAAATCCGAACGTAATATTTATATTAACGCTAAATAAAGTGATGGGGTTGATGTGCACGTTTATATGTCACAAGCTTCAAATCAGAATTGATCTTTTGACATGCGCACACTGCACAAATATACAGAGTTTCCCAAAGTTTGCGCATACTATTCTCCTTTTCTTTGAACCGTAGAGCACATAAACTGTTGTGCCATGCTGCTTATATTAATCAAGCGGTAAAAACGGCCCTTCCCGCAGCTCAAACAAGGCGTCTGTGGATGCGAGTCCGAAACGAGAACTGATGGGGCGTTATCGTGCTCCACTTCACAGACGATGAGTGGAAGGAGAGTTTTAGAACGACATGACAGTCATTTATGACACTTCATTGAACAATAACAGCAGCTCGTTCCACACGTCATTACACCATTTCTGTGTCATTTCACATGAGCAGGCTTTCCAGTTTCGGTTTTCATGTCCTTTCGATCGGATTAGGAAAGTTTTAAATCACCCCTTATAATATACGAATTAAATTTTAATCTGATTTGGCCAATTCACTCTGATTTGAAGTGGTGACGTGTTTGTGTTGTTGTTGTTTTTTTTATCCCACTGCTAGTGCTATTACTAATGGATTATTAAGGTTCATGTAAACACAGGGCACTAATTATGAAGATATTGTAAGAAATAAAGGCTTTGGAAGATCTTTTAAATGTTGTTTCGCAAATGTTAAATGCTCATTTGTTGTCTCTATTACAGAGCTCTTCAAAAAAGAGATTTGTTGCATAAAAATACTGAAGGAATTAAAGTAATGCATGAACACGTGACCCCCTTTAGGGATGTTTGAATTACCACATGTAGCCAATTGGGTAATGCAGTAAATAGGCTTAATATTGCACAAATGTGTCATAATACCCACAAAAGACAGATTACCTGTAATAACACGAGGATTCCTCACAGGAGATGATTTGAAGTCTGACTAGTTGTTTGTTGAATGAGCATCCTAGCCCTATATCCCCTGACAGCCTTCCTGTAATGAGTTATGTGAACATCTCTTGTGCCCTGTTTGTTTTCCAGGGGCCGAGGAGTGCCGGAGAAATCACGACACATTAATCTGCCCTCTGTGTAGAGCCAAGTGGAAGTCTCATGATTTTTACAGGTAAAGATGTAAAAGCGTGATCGCAGCTTAGAGAATTCAGCAGTTCATGTTTAAAGTGAAGCTAGAGGCTTTATGGTTTTATGAGGTTTTATTGCGCATACGTTCCCTCAGAAGAGTACATCAGGAGTTTGTTCATGACCCATAGACTGAGATGAGATCATGTAGAGGTCAGGGTGGGCAGACGTCAAACTCCTCTCTGGTGGTTAGGTGAGCGAGACAGCCCGGCACCAGCCATGTTTGTGTGTGTCTGCCCAGGATTGACATGCTAGCGGCTAGTCGGTTTTTGATGTTTTCCAGCTCCCTGCAAACCATCCACAGATTCACCCCACACACAATGATGCCTGAAACCAAACCCTGCTGTTTCTTCTTTAGGAAACTGCAATTATTCTAATTTCATGAAGTAAATCCCCTCCATTTGTCTTGGCATGACTGTTGAGAGGTTGGCATGACATTCAGAGAGGCAGTGCATCATCTCAGCTTATGAGAACACAAACCACGGGTTCAGTTTGTTGCCTTTTGTGATGTTTTTCTGAGCTATTAGACCTTCAACGTGTGTGTTTTGTCGTGTTATGAGACAGAATGGCAGCCATTAGTATAAACTGTCTTCTACAGTCAGTCAGAAATCATTCTGATATGATTTGATGCTCAAGAAACATTTCTTATTATCAATGTTTTAAAAAAAGTTTAGCTGTTTTTGTGAAAGCAGAAATGCATTTTTTCATGCTGTTGATTTTTTTTTTTTTTTCAAAAGAACCACATTTAATTGAAATTGAAACCATCCATTTTGATCAATTTATTTAATATCCTTAATAAATGTTTAGTTAAAACAAATCTTGTTTTGAACAGTAGTGCGCAGTGGATGTTGCCTTACAGAGCTGTGTTTTTGTGTGTGTAGTTATGAGGCCTCATCTACAGTGGAAAGCACAACAAACCACTCCCAGAGTCCAACAGCTGCTGCTGCTTCTTCCTCATCTTCATCTCTTCAGGCCGAGAGCTCCCGGTCGGGGCAGGAGGGCGACTTCTCTCTCCCACAGTATGGAGTGCAGCACATCCCGCAGACTTACACCGAGCTCGCCGAACCCTGGATCAAGGTGCCGTACACACACACACACATGCGCACACACACACACGATCCTGCATCAGGTCGTCAGACAAAACTCATTAAAGGAGTAGTTCACTTTAAAAAAAAAAACTTTTGCTGATAATTTACTCACCCCCATGTCATCCAAGATATCCATGTCATTCTTTCTTCAGTCGAAAAGAAATTAAGGTTTTTGGTGAAAACATTCCAGCATTTTTCTCCATATAATGGACTTCAGTGGGAGCCAAACGGTTCAAGGTCCAAAAGACACTTTCAGTACAAACTGCAAACTGTTCAACGGGCTTTAAACGATTCCAGACGATGAATAAGGGTCTTATCAAGCGAAATGATCGCTCATTTAAAAAAATAAATAACAAAGTTTAAGTATTATAAGCTCAAATGGTCGCCTTGCTCTGTACTGCGATGCACATCCGAACTCGTTGATTAAAATGAACAAATCTTTTTCGAATCAATTCGTTCGTTGAATAAACCAAATGACTCTGAAAAAGATTTGTTCATTTTGATGAACAATTTCGAACAGGAGAGTCACGAACGTGCATCGCAGAACAGAGCAAGGCGACCATTTGAGCTTATAAAACTTAAACTTTGTTATTCATTTATTAAATGAGTGATCGTTTCGCTTGATAAGACCCTTATTCATCGTCTGGAATCGTTTAAAGCCCTTTGAACAGTTTGCAGTTTGTACTGAAAGTGTCTTTTGGACCTTGAACCGTTTGGTTCCCATTGAAGTCCATTATATGGAGAAAGATCCTGTAACGTTTTCATCAAAAACCTAAATTTCTTTTCGACTGAAGAAAGAATAACATGGATATCTTGGATGACATGGGGGTGATTAAATTATCAGCAAAAGTTTTTTCAAAAGTGAACTACTCCTTTAATAGGACCATTCATGAACAAATCATGCCTTTCATGTATTCTTAAACCTATTTAAGACCCAGAGGTTCACCCAAAAATAAAAATACTGTTATAATTTGCTCAACCTCAAGTTGTATGGTAACAACGCAGGCAACAAACCTGTATGACTTTCTTTCTTCTATGGAACACAAAAGAAGATATTTTGAAGAATGTTGGTAACCAAACAGTTTTGGTTCCCATTGTATGTCAAAATTATTAGTGTTGTCCAGAAGAAAGAAGCTAATACTGGTTTGGAATAACGTAAGAGTGAGAAAATGATGACAGGGTTTTTGGCTGGACTACGCCCTTAAAAACGTACAGAACAGAATAGATTTTATTATAGGTTATCAATATCATAAAAATAATTGTTGGCTGTATTGGCAAAACTATATTTTAGGGAATCCCACATCCATCTAAATTCTCATTACTGTAATGCATGCCAAAAAAAAAGGATTTAAATGCTGTCGTAAGAAAGTAACGTTACCAAACATTTTTTATTTCAAATAAATGTGGTTCTTTTGCATGGTTTAATTTGTAAAGATTTGATTAAAGTCTGATATGGAACCATGTACAAAATCTTTCTGTTTCTATTTTATTTCTTTTTCGAAATTTCAATGATTCTTAATGTTAAACTATTTGATGTAATTGGTCTGTGGTGTGTGTTCATGCTCTCTCTCTCTCTCTCAGGTGTTTGGTCTGGAGCTGGTTGGCTGTCTCTTTTCCCGGAACTGGAACATCAGGGAGATGGCGCTCCGGCGGCTGTCACATGACGTGAGCGGGGCGCTCCTGCTGGCGAACGGGGAGCACTCATTGGCCGGGGCGGGGCCGGGGGCGGGACTGGGAGCAGTGACCGGAGAGGTGGTGGTGGAGTCGTGCTGTAGTGTGCTCTCCATGGTCTGCGCCGACCCCGTCTACAAGGTCTATGTGGCCGCACTGGTGAGAGGCTTCATAACACACATGCTTGCCACTGATACAGCATCTGAAAATATAGGGTTAGCATGCTGTATTAAGACGATTAAGACTGTCAGTAGTATATTATCTGCTAGACATGACGTCAACAATTTACAAACAGATTCATTAGTTAACTAGCTTCGTTAACATGAGCTAAGAATGAACAATACTTCTTCAGCATTTTTTCAATATTAGTTCATATTAATTTCAACTTTTGCTACTATGGTATTTAAATCAAAGGTTGTTTTGTTAAAACTACACTGTGCAACTCTTTATTCTTAGCTAAAAACACTTAGTTCTTTCAAAAATATATTTGCTCATTAATGTATATTTACTTCGTTCAAGTAATAAAGTATTCTCGTGAGTGTATAATATGCCATTGAAAATACATACGGGTAAGGGGTTCTAATGTCGGTCGCCATGTTGCCCCTCCATCTTGAATGTACATTAGCCAAAGAGGGACATACCCGTTAATTCAAGCTTCGTCTTTCGCGTTTACGTTTGAGTTAACACTCATGGACGAGGTCGAACTGGGAGCCATGTTAATCTTGGACTACATTGGCCACCGTAGGAGTTAAAACGAAAGCGGAATTGAGAGGAACAGAAACTAATATTCACTGTTTTTACTAATCTTTGTTAGTTCATGTTAGTCATGCTAACATTGTGCCTTATTGTGAAGTGTTACCAACATGACAATGAGTAAGTGCTTCAGTCGACATGTTAACAGTGCTTCCCAAACTCTTCTTGTCCCACATGAACCCCAAAGACACTCTCAGACAAAACATTGCTTGCGCAATCCTATAGGATTTGAAACTATTGTAAATAACACAGTACTACAACGTCTGCAGGCTTCTCTTTTGTGTTCGTGATGAATCTCTAAGTGCCGTCTTAACTTGTTTGGCTTCATACTGTCAGAAGCGAATGTTTTCAGGCCCAGACATCACACACTGTGGTTTCTCTTCATTCCCCACCGCTGCTCTGCTGAATCCGAGAGCTGTGGGTCGGCATGTTGTCTTGTCTTCACTGGACGTGACAAAGCGAGCGTTGCAATCCATTACTATAAGTCCAGTACTTTATTCCTGCAATACCGGAGGGGCATGAGTTTACTATCAGGTATTTGTCATTTGTCGCATCCAGTGTAGACAGCAACACTGTTTATAGTGGCTTTTGTCTCAGTTTGTTTCGCTGCTTGCGTCTGGTGTAGAGTTTTGGCAGCTGTGACATTCAAAGTAAATTCATCGTCTGCTTTTTTTTATATGCCATTGGCAGTCCTTTCAAGGGTCCATCCTAGTGCAGAACGTGCATCATCCATTTATATTCACACGGCTCCCTGCAATACTGGTTATTGCATGACAACCACTACAACTGAAACGGACCACTCAGGCTGTATTGTGAATCACTGTGAGGTCACAAGATATGTCAAATGAACATTTTGTTAAAGTATTTCAACTAGGATAATATCGCAGTGGGGTCTTGTATCACCCTGAAGAGTTATCTTTAGCATGACAATCTGCTGACTGTACACGTTTATAACTCCAGGTCGTGCCCCCTCAGTTTGGTAACCACTGGGTTACATTCATGTTTCTGTGAAGCAAAGGTCTTTATTATTCAAACACTCCAGCCCTAATTATGTCCATGGTGAAGTGCCGTCACATGTGAGTTTACTTAACTCGGTTTCACATGCCTGACCCACTGCTATTATCATGTGAACACTTCAATTGTCATGTTGACAGCGTGTGATGCCTAGGTTAAGATCACAGGATCGAGAGAGATTGTGGGACAGCAGAAGGAAGTTACACAATCCCGCACGAACCAACCATCTACAGTCATTAGGGCTGGTTAAACCTGAGTATTGGCTCATCATTTTGGCTTGGTGGCCTTTGCTCTTGCATTTAGCTTCATTAACACCACAATTCAGGACAAAGGAGAATGTTCACATGACCCGGTCAGAACGGGGGACTGAGCCACATTGAGGAAGAAGTGATCACTCTGCTGGTCCACTGGCTGGTTTCAGTGTTCTCCATCACACCGCGGGTACGTCCAAATTGAACAAGGCAATATAGATACAAATCTCAATATTTTTCCACAATAACGTCTACTGCAAAATAATGTAGATGATAAAAAATAATCCAAACATAGTACCACTTACTGCTTTTTACTAAATTAACTCAAAAGGAACATTTAATATATCTTTTTTATAGGTTCCAATCTAAAATATAATGTGTGGTTGTCGCAACAAATCAAGTTCTTTGAAGAATCTCAGGTCCGAAAAACCCCAGGATGTCCTTCGATAGAGAGTAGGGGTGTAATCCTGAGCACATGTGCCCATTGGCCTCTGTTCATCGTCATGACTCCTCTCCACCGTAAGCCAGTGTGTGTGTGTTCTAGCAAAGTATGGCTGTCGTCGCATCATCATCAGGTGCTGTTTGAGGAGATCCCCTCTTCCATATGTGCAGTATTTTGCGTGCTGGGTAAAGTGCTATCATGTGACGAATTGTTATTATTATAAGTTAGTGTTCCTTGAAAACATTGAGTCTTTTCCAGATGCGAACAGAGTACAGAGCTTTATTACTTGAGTAAAAGTACAGATAGCCCTTGCTAAATTTTACTCAAGTACAAGTAAAAGTACTACAGTCAGATATAGAGTAAAAGTACTCAAGTACTTGAGTATCAAGAGTACATTTTCTAAATATTGCATTACTACTGTCACAGTGCTTACATTTATGTACAGAAACATCCTACATGGAGTTATGAAAAGTGTTAATGTCAATACCTTGGAGAATGTAAAAGGAATTGAAAGTAAAATCAAGTCATATTCATCTTTTTACCATGTTGCTTTATTTAACATTTAAGAAAATTTCAGAATATTCAGAAAATAGAAATAGTCTGGCGAGTTAGGGTTATGGGTTGGGACATTCACAGGATGGACCTGCTGCGTCTTTATCCATGGTTTCATCCATGTTTTCGTCTCTTATCTAAATCTGACCATGTAGTTGACGGAAATGTGATTGCTGATAGGCTGTCCCAATCAGTGGCGCTTGCACAATCCAATCACGTTTGAGAGGGACACAACAAATTGAGGGTTTCCAAGATTTTTCTTATTTTTGAAGTAGTAACTCGTGCTCATGGTTATGGATTGAAATGTTGTGAGTAAAGAGTACAATATTTCCCTCTCAAATGTACTTGTGTGTAAAGTCATGAGTACTCCCCAAAAATAGTGCTCGAGTAAAGTACAGATCCCTCAAAATTGTACTTAAAGGAGTAGTTCACTTTTGAAAAAACTTTTGCTGATAATTTACTCACCCCCATGTCATTCAAGATATCCATGTCATTCTTTCTTCAGCCGAAAAGAAATTAAGTTTTTTGATGAAAACATTCCAGGATTTTTCTCCATATAATGGACTTCAATGGGAACCAAACGGTTCAAGTTCCAAAAGAAACTTTAAGTACAAACTGCAAACTTGTTCAAAGGGCTTTAAACGATTCCAGACGATGAATAAGGGTCTTATCTAGCGAAACGATCGCTCGTTTTATAAATAAATAACAAAGTTTAAGTTTTAAAAGCTCAAACGCTCGCCTTGCTCTGTTCTGTAACGCACTCCTGTTCGAACTCGTTCATCAAAATGAACAAATCTTTTCCCGAGTCATTTGGTTTATTCGGCGAAAGAAACGAACGATTTGATTCGGAAAAAGATTTGTTGAACGAGTTCGAACAGGAGAGTCACGAACGTGCACCACAGAACAGAGCAAGGCGAGCATTTGATCTTATAAAACTTAAACTTTGTTTTTTTTTTTTTTTTAAATGAGCGATCATTTCGCTTGATAAGACCCTTATTCATCGTCTGGAATCGTTTAAAGCCCTTTGAACAGTTTACAGTTTGTACTGAAACTGTCTTTTGGACCTTGAACCGTTTGGTTCCCATTGAAGTCCATTATATGGAGAAAATCCTGGAACATTTTCATTAAAAACCTTAATTTCTTTTCGACTGAAGAAAGAATAACATGGACATCTTGGATGACATGGGAGTGAGTAAATTATCAGCAAAAGTATTTTTTAAAAGTGAACTACTCCTTTAAGTACTTTACTGTAGTAAATGTACTCCGATACTGTCCAGCTCTGCTATTTTCACATAGCACTTGCACAAATACTCATTCCCTAATTTTATATTGCAAGCAAAATGATGCAATAACACTAGTAAAATGCAATAATATCAGTTATATCTGATCTCCCAGCCCTACACCTATAGACTGTTCTCTCAGTAAAAATGTCCAAAATCCCAAGAAATAAAATGGAAATGGCGCTATACGTCTTACTTGCCATTGGCTGGTGTACAAACACATGTTCATTAAATACAATGTCTAAATATGTATTTTCCTTTCGTCAACTTTGATCTGAGGTTATCTGAAGCGGGCCAGAGTACTAAAGTGCAACTCACACGCTGGCTAGTTTTAAAGTTCACTTCAAACCAGGAAGTCTGGAAGCAGCAGGGATCCTCAGACTGAAGCTGGAATAGAAAGGTTTAGTTTTTTTTTCTTTCTTTCATAACCTATTTCTCCTCCTTGAAAAGAACAGACAAACTAAACAAAAAAACAATAGCTCTTGCTGCGTGGACTTGCTGTCTTTCCCTCAGGCTCTGTGCTCCAGTGAGCCGGCTTTATGAAAACAACAAGCGTTTTGTCCGTTCGGGGCTTTCCAGCAGTTTTCCTATATTCTTCGAACACGCACCAGAAAAGAGGGCTGTCTCTATGAACTAAAAATACTACAGACAAAAGCTTTCAGGATGTTACCTAGTGTTGACTGCTCTGCAAACACTGCAGTGTGTGTAGCGCTTCGGCTGATCTGAAGTCTGCTTGTGAACTAAATGTGGCGAGTTCAAATGTCATAATGTTTCACTATTTATACTTGACGTGGAGTTATTTTTTGAATGCAGAGGAGCATTATATTATCCTTTTAGTGTGTGTGTGTGTGTGTGTGTGTTGGTGGGTGAATGTGTGTTTGTGCTCGGGAGGAGTGTGTATGCTGTGTTAATCAATGCTGGGCCGCGCTCCAGTGCACTGTGCTATCAGTCACCACTCCCCAGCTCTCTCTGAGAGTCAGGGTCAGGGTGAACTCTTTCTCACACACACACACACACACACACACACACAGGGAAGCACTGTTAATGTACTGTAGTCATGCCGATCACAGGACTGTTCAGACCTCAGGGAGAATACGCTGGAAATGCAAATAATTAATGAACTGCAACTAATCACATACTTGTGTTTGTGTATAAAGGCTCTTAAAATAAAAATGCGTATCAACTTTTAAAATGGAGGAGAAAACGCGTCTTGTTGTTTTGTTGTTGACGTCAGAGCCAATCAAACGGGGTCACTGTGTAGAAGCGAGCCGTGTTAGGAAGATGCCAAGATGTTTTCAAATTCAAGAGGCTTTTAAACACTCAAACAAACAAAATAAGTGAATCCACATTTAAATGTTAACATTAACACTACTTTTGGACAGTAAACCATTTTGGTACTATATTTGGCCAGTGTTGGGATGCTTTATTTTGAGATTTTTATGAAAAAAAATCTGATTCTGATTGAAAATGTGTTTTTTGATGTTGTTTTGAAAAATTAATATAATCTCTTTTTCCTTTGCTTGTTAGTAGCACAATTTGAGCAAATATGTTGTAATTGTATGTCAGTATTTATTTATTTTTTGTTATTATTTTTATTAGTTATTATAACTAAATATTATGTTTACATTCATTATTATTATAATAATTAATATTATTATTATTATTATTATCACTAAGTATATCAAACAAAATAAAAATAGTACAATTATAATTTCACTCTAAAGTAAAAAACTAATATTTAAGAAAAACAATAATTTATTTTATTGTACAACTAAACTTCCAATATTTATTGCCATCTTAATTTCTTCATTTTTAAATGTTAATTTTTTTTTTTTTTTTTGAGGAATAGTCTTAAAGCTCTTTTGCTGACATCAAGTGCTTTCAGGCCTGGTTTCACAGACAGGGTTTTGATCAAGCTGGGATTAGATCTTGGTTCAATTAGGACATTTAAGTATCTTTTATAAACGTGCCTTAGAAAAAAAAAACATTACTGGTGTGAATCTTGAGACAAAACAATGGCACTGACATATTTTAAGATGTGCTTTCAGTTAAAGCATACATTTTAGTCTGGGACTAGACTTGAGCCTTGACTGTGAAACCGGGGGCTAATGTTTTTAATTAATCGTCCATCACTCTGTGTCCTGAATCTTGTGCTCAACACAGGACTGGAGAATCCACAACACAAGCCACAGTCCTGAATTTGGCAACATCGTTTGTGATGTGTATTAAGAGTCGATCTTTGCGCTGTTTTTCAGAAAACCCTACGAGCGATGCTCGTCTACACCCCCTGTCACTCTGTGTCGGAGCGGACTCGTCTACAGCAGTTGCTGCGGCCCGTGGTGGAAACCATCCTGGTCAAGTGTGCAGACGCCAACAGGTACAACTCGCTGAAGAGCGTCTCTGATTGGGCCCTAGTCATCACGCATGGTGGATAAATTGCTTGGGTGTAACTGACCTGATCTAGGATTCCTCAATTATTCAAAGCTAGCCAAAAGAGGAATGATCACAATCAGAAGATCTGGTATACATCATTTCATTTCTAGTCCTGAAGTTAACAGGCTATTGCCACCTAGTGGATGGGCACTGTAGGCACAGACACATTTGCTGGTGTTTGTTGAAGAGTGATGATATTGTAATTTTGTCAGTAATAAATCAAATATTACACCGTGTCCTAACTACACGCGACGCGACGCCGCGACACGCGATAAAAGGTATGTTTTCCATGTTAATCAGAGCTTTTGTCCTAACCAGACGCGATGGCGACACGCGAAGTTTCTAATTTAGAAACGGTTCCTATTTCTGCGACGTCGCGGCTGACAGAATGAAGAAATTACACTGGTTATGAGTACACATTATTTATTTTTAGTTAAAAACAGGTCACTGTGCCACAAGCGATAACGGATAATTTACCTCAGATTTTGAAAGCTTATAATGTTAGCGTTCAAAATGAATTCTATGCAATTGCAAACATACAACTGTACTTCATAACAAAATTAGTCAATGAGTATATTTTGTTAATGTTTTGATTTTTAATAATGTTATTTCATGATTTGATTACCCATTTCCAATGCGAGTGCGGCCCAACAGTGCGCTTTCACAGAGAGACTCTGCTCACACCAGAGGCTCACACGCTGTTCTGAATGTGTGGCGTCTCACAGTCGCGTCGCGTCTAGTGTGGACAGACACACTTGCTGTCGCTGGAATTTTATCGCGTCGCGTGTAGTTAGGACACGGTGTTAGTTACTCCACCACAACTCCCTTGTTTTATTGTGAATGATTAATACGCTATTTAGTCTTTCATCAGAATCTAGTAACTGAAAGTTTTTCACTGACGTCCTCTTTTCCCCATCCAATCAATTCTTGATGGATAATCACGTGTTTATTTTTAGTATCCCTTTTGAGTCCTGTTGACTTTAAATGCTCTTTTGAAGTTGGTTTGCTAAGTGTATGTGTTTGTCTTGTGCTCATAGTCGCACCAGTCAGCTCTCCGTGTCCACTCTACTGGAGCTGTGCAAAGGTCAAATGGGGGAACTCGCTGTGGGCAGAGAAATCCTCAAAGCAGGTACAAATTCGTAATCCGCAAATCTGTGTGATATAATGAAATATCCTGAGGTTGGCTGGTGGTTAATCTTCTGTGAACATCTTCCTATTTCTTATTTTTTAAATTGATAATGCACCCTGAAAGGCAAATTTCGTTTTTGTGGCTGGCAATCTACAGTACATGAAAAGCATCATAAAAGTTGTCCATTTGACTTTATAAACGATGTTGTGTCCCAAAAAACGCACTATGTACACAACTGTCTAGTCGATGGGTGCAAAACCCAACCCTGCTCCAACACACATTAAGCCTGTAGTGCTTGAGTAGGATTGAAGCTAAACTCGGCAGGGCTGAGTTTTGCACCCCTGGTCTAGTGTACAAGGTTTACAAGGTTATTTTGTCACTGGACTCTGATTGCCTCTCTCCATACGCTGTATAAGGAAAGTTGTGAAGAAATGTCAAACATTCCACACACACTTCTGTTTTTATTTATTAGTTAAATTTGTACATTTTCAGTGTGAACACTCTACTCACACTTTTTATTACAAAACTGCATAGAATAGAGCATAAATATGAGATTTGGAATGCACCTATCTTTAGCTGTGTGTGAGGAATAAGAAGCTTACATGATTGACTGATGAACATAATTTATTTATTTTTTTCACATTTGTTTGCTTTTCAATTGAAACATGTTCATCTCTGATTTTCCATTAGGCTCTATTGGTATCGGTGGAGTTGACTATGTCCTGAACTGTATCTTGGGCTCTAAAACGGAGGCCAATAACTGGCAAGGCCTGCTAGGTCGTCTGTGTCTGATCGACAGGCTCTTGCTGGAGTTTCCTGCTGAGTTCTACCCTCATATTGTGTCAGGTGGAGACTGCGACCAGGCCCAAAACCTTTCGGAGAGGTACAGAAATGCATGCTAATCTCTCTGAGCTTCCGTTCTCTGTTTATGAACCTTTATAAAAGTTTGACATTTTTGCAACCCTGTAAACAATTTTTAGGACATCATTTTCTAGTGATACGATTTTAAAATTATACAGTTAAAAACAAGTACCAGGATTGTAAATTTAACCTATAATTATTTAATATGTAAGCAAAATGGACATTGTAATTCTAATGAATCAGAATCTAATCAAACTGAATCGAGGTCAGAATTAAATCAAATATGGTCATCTGTAGTGTTGCCCATCAATCAATAAGAGCTTGCTAGATTGGTATCTGTTTACCTTTTTTTGTCAAGCCACCCAACAGCTGATCAGCCAAATTCAATGTAATCAAATCTGGAAAGAGGAATTTATTGAAAGTAGTAGTGTAAGATAGCGGTTGATTCTTTCATGTCTCATCCTTCTTAAAGTCTTAACCAAAGGTTCTATCTGTGCAACCAGACCTTTATATCTGGTAACAGATGACTTTGTCTCACTAATTATATGGGAATTTTGGGTCACACCTTTGCAGACACAGTAAAGCCCAAAGTATACTTGACTTGAGCACTTGAAAGCAAGGTCCACTGGATAGTATGCATCCGCCGAACACGTATTTCCAACCTCACGGCCAATGGAGAATACTTTGAAAAGCTTGCATGCTTAACTGTGCCTAACCCCATGAAGCCAAATGCAGAAAATGAAGTATACCTGGGCCTTTACTGTTGACTGCAACACAAATCCCATTAGAGCAGGTGTATTGTGATATTATGTGAGTTGTACCAGGGTTGCAAGCAAAACATAGCTTAATAGTTATTCAGTTCTTGATAAAATTGAAATCAATTTAAAAAGGAAAGGCAGACCAGTTTGCAGCCTTTTTGTGGAAAGCGCTTTCTTGTATTGTCATGGGTTTAACGTCATCATTTTTCCTTTTTAGGTACCAGAAGCTGCTGCCTCTTCTAAGTTTTGCGCTGCAGTCCATCGATAACTCTCACTCCATGGTGGGTAAGCTTTCTCGTCGCGTCTTCCTGAGCGCTGCCCGTATGGTGGCTCGTGTGCCTCATGTCTTTGTCAAGCTTCTGGAAATGCTCAACGTCACCAGTTCCACTCACTACGCCCGCATGCGCAGGCGTCTTCTAGCCATCGCTGAGGAGATGGACATCTTGGAAGCCATCCATCTGGGAGTGGACGACCTACAGAACGGGCACAGTTCGCTTTCCAATGCCTTCATCGAGCCCACCGCCCCCCATAACTCCCCGTGTACGACTGAGAGGAACTCGCCCACCCATGGTCTACAGCAGCCGACCACCAAGGTGCCGCTTTCAGGTCAAGCCAGTTCAACTCCTGTAGATGATATAACAGAAAGACTCTCAAACATCATCACAAGCCCCGCTGAGTTTCCAAAGCCCCCTATTCAGGCCCGAAACAGACCTAGTCAATGTTTAAACTCCCCCTCATCCAGTCAACCCCCGAGCCTTCCTTCTCTGTCCATGACCAACGCCTCAGCCTTCCCTCCAGAAAACCACAAAGGCCTTCCGCAGAGTTTTGTGCCCAACAAACTCCCCCAGTCCTCACTGAGTGCCCAGCGCAAGTTGCCAGTGCAGAAGGGATTAAGTGGAGGTGCCTGTAGTGGGAAGGAGCCGGAGAAGTTGCCCTCCCCGGTGTTCACCCAAGCTCGACCGTTTCCCTCGAGTCACATCCACTGGCCCAGACCCTCTCGACCCTCTCCACCTGATGGAGCCAAAGCTTTAAGCCCAGGGACAAAGAGCAACATGAAACTGGACCTTCAGGAGGGCAGGTCCAGAGACGAGGTGTGCTGCAGTGGCGGTTCTGCTCTCATCCCCAGCGAGGACACGGTCTTCACACCAGTCGAGGAGAAATTCCCCGGGATCGACGCTTCGGCCGATCTCAGCTCCAGCATGGAGGACCTGTTGGAGGCCTCCATACCTGTGGCAGACAGCACCGTCACCTTCCAGTCCGAAGTGGCGGTGCTGTCACCGGAGCAGGCCAACACCAACGACGACACCTACAGCGAGGATATGACCAAGAACCAGAAGTGCAAGGAGAAGATGGAGGCTGAGGAAGAGGAGGCGCTGGCTGTGGTCATGGCAATGTCCGAGTCTCAAGATGCCCTGCCTATCATCCCGCAGTTACAGGTGGAGAAAGAAGAGGACGTGATCATTATTCAGGTGGATGTAAGTGCATGGCTATTAATATCATAGTAAACTCTGCTAAAAAATAAAGGTGACTCAGAAATAACAGCCTGTCACTGGGGCAGTAACCTTAAAAGGACAACTTGGTACCTTATTTACCCCAAAAAGGGTGCATATTAGCAGTCCTGTTTAGACCTGGTATTAAGATGCGTTTTGGTCGAGAGAACATAGTGCTTGGTTTGTTTTTTAAACACAGTCTCATCCCAAGACGTCATATAACTGTCATATAACTGACGTCTTGGGACGTCTTTTGACCATACGTCAATATCCGCCTTTTTAGGGCCCCCTTAAACGTCGGTAGATGGCGATCCCGGGCCGTCATACAACTGACGCTTTACCTTTAACGTCAGTTAGGTGATGGGTTAGGCTTAGGGTTAGGTTTAGGTCTGGGGTAGAGTTAGGATCCCATAACCTCATCTACCGACGTTTAAGGGGGCCCTAAAAAGGCGAATATTGACGTATGGTCAAAAGACGTCCCAAAACGTCAGTTATATGACGTCTTGGGATGAGACCGGGTTGGTTTTTTATCTTCAAACTAAACTAGGGTCTTCAGCCAACAAAGTTTAAATCCTGTCTGGTTAGTGCGCTTCCCATTAGGTCAGTAGGCGGAGAGCATACAGTCTCTTGTGGATGTTTAAACACATTTGATCGGCCACATGAGCATTTACACTATGAAAGCAATCCAGTCAAATGCGTACCTCTGGAAAAAGTGGAAAAGCTCAAAAGGTTTTAGACCCTGTTTACACCTGTATTGGTATCGTCCACTTGTGATCCGATCGACCAAATGCATCTTAATACCAGGTGTGAATAGGCCTTAGTGTAGGAATATGTACCATTAAGGTTCCACCATGAAATACGGTACAGTAAGGTTAGATATAGTAGGATAAAGGTACAAAGGTGTCCCATTAAGGGCAGTGCCCCAGTTACAAGCTGTTGTACCTCTGAGAATGTGAAAAAAAGATTTGACACCAATAGCATCTAGGTCTAAACCTTCACTTTTTAATCATTCTGCCTTACGCAAGCACAGCTCATGTACATTTTTAAGATCAAAACGTTTGTTTGGCTTCATTTCTCCCTGCCTTTTTTTACTTCTCATGGTCAGACACCAGAGACTCTGCCTGGACATACCAAAGCAAAACAGCCATACAGGGAGGGCAAGGAATGGTTAAAAGGGCAACAAATTGGCCTGGGTGCCTTTTCGTCATGTTACCAGGCTCAGGATGTGGGCACTGGTACTCTGATGGCTGTCAAACAGGTGAGAATATCTGTTACACACACCACCGATACATTTTCCTAACACTTCTGTTATTCTGGGACTTCACATCACACTTCACTTCTCTCGGATCTGTGTGTTTGGATAGTTTTTTAATGAAAATGATCCGAAAATGCTGAAAAATTTTGTTGACGGGTCACTTACTCAAGATTGGACACCCCTGGGGTATACAAAAGCACTAAATATGGACACTTGGGGGCTTAATATGTTTTGGTTTTGGCAGCTATTGCAGAACACATACAGACACAATGCTTGATTGTGATTTTATTCATCAGGTGACGTATGTGAGGAACACCTCCTCAGAGCAGGAGGAGGTGGTGGAGGCACTGCGAGAGGAAATTCGCATGATGGGTCTCCTTAACCACCCAAACATCATCCGAATGCTTGGGGCAACTTGTGAGAAGAACAACTACAACCTTTTTGTGGAGTGGATGGCAGGTAGGTTGTCCATAAACTTGCAAAGAGTAAAGGTGTGGTCAATGGGTCAAGTATTACTTTCAAACCAAGCAGTTTTTTTGGGGTCAAGATTGGTCAAACTTCTGCTCTTGCGCAAAATTCCCGTTGGAATGGAATGTAGAAATGGCTGGATTTTGGCCATGAGAATTTGCTGAACAAAAGTAAATGTAACTGCTCCTTAAATGTAGTGGTCATATTGGGATCTCACCAGGTTTGCCAGGTCCCAGGAAAAAGTTCCCAAAATAATACAGCGTTTGCCTGTGTGTACGCTAGACTACATCACAGCTTATATGGGACAAACAGGGTTTAACACAGAATGCTATTTGGATGTCTTAAACTTCAAATGCTTGTATCCATGCTTATAAATTAATCACTGCTTAATGGGACGACTGTATTATAAATGCCACATTGGCAACCCTAGCTAAGACTTATTATTAATAGCCTAATAATTAAAATGCCAAACTCAATCAAACGTTTATATGTTTTATTGATGCCTCAAATGCCTTTGACTATGTAAACCATGAAAAATCATTTTCTAAGTCACTTAGAAAGTGCTAAAATGTCTTGAGAATTCAGTTTTTTGGTATGACCATCAGTTAATGTCTGTAAAATGGGGAAATTGTTTATCTACTGATGATTTGGAAGCAGCTTTCGCAATCTGCAGGGCTTCGGTGACCGACAGCAATGCAGTCTCGGTTGAATGCCCTTTCTTGAAACCAGTTTGGTTGACATCCAGCTGGTAATTCTGAGAGGAAAGATGATACTTGGTTGAAAGCAACTCGTTCAAGTGTTTTCGCTGTGAGTGATCTAAGAGAGACAGGTCTGTAACTCTACAAATGATGTGTTTAATGTGGGTTTTTTAAGCAGTGGAGTTACCTGAGCCTGCTTGAATGCTGTAGGGAAAATGCCAGGTTGGAGAGATGGGTTTATGATGTGTGTGAGTGCTTGTAGAAGTGTGTGAGAGATGGTTTGTAGAAGGTGTGAGGGGATGGGGTCTAGAGGGCAGGTGGTAGGATGACTGGAGAGGAGAAGGTTAGATACTTCTGCCTCAGTGAGGGGAGAGAAGGAGGAGAGAATATTCGTGGCTGAGGGTGTGGTTGGTCTTTGTTCCTGTGTGTGTGGAGCTGAGAACTGACTACTGATAGTTGTTGTTGTTTTGTTAGTGAAGACATTAGCAAAATCATCAGCAATTAAAGAGGAGGTGGGTGGTAATGGAGGTGGATAGAGATGGTAGATTTGAATGTCTTGAAGTGTTTGTGTGTTTGATCTTGTTGTTGAAATATAAAGATTTCGCAGGATGGAAGAGAACAGAGATTGATACATACTCATGTCAGATGTATCTCTTAATTTGCGTCATTTCCTCTCTGCTGCCCTGAGTTAACTAAGAACATCAGATAACCAGGGGTTGCAGGGAGTAGCACGTGGCCTGGAGGAGAGAGGGTAGATATAAATATAAAATGTAGCCCAAAACAATTGTTAATTGAATAATTCTTCCCCTGATGGCATTTTCTAAATAGACCAAAAGTGCGGGAAAACTGCGACCCTGGCAACACTGGATCTCACAATAAATTATTACATTAAGAAGAGGCCCTTTTGGGTATTTTCCTCTTTGTAAGTAACAGTTTTCAGAATGACTGTTTTACTAGATCTGTCCTGGTCCATAAAAGGCATACTACTCCTTTGTTTTCCTCAGGTGGCTCAGTATCTCATCTCTTAAATAAATATGGCGCGTTTAAGGAGGGCGTGGTCATCAACTACACCGAGCAGCTTCTACGAGGTCTCTCCTACCTCCACGAGAATCAGATCATACACCGAGACATCAAAGGTAAGCTACTGGAGCATGGCTACCAAAAGCACTTCTATTTTCACAAACTGGGAGGAATTAGCAGCATACTCTTGTGTCCTTTACGGGCTGGTTTGGTGGATAGAGAAGGCAGAAACTTTTTCAGTGAAATATTTTTGTGTTATAAGCTCTGTTCCAAACCTAAGCAGGTTCCTGCTGAGATAGCATCATACTGTAGGTGTGCTCCCAACTTTTTTTTTTCAGAGCATTGGAGCTCACTTGGTTGTGGAGCAGAGCTTTAGGGTGTGTTTCCATACTTATCCTCTCCTTTTAACCCATGTAGGTGCCAATCTACTAATCGACAGCACGGGCCAGAGGTTGCGGATAGCTGATTTTGGGGCAGCAGCACGTCTGGCTTCAAAGGGCACGGGTGCGGGGGAGTTCCAGGGTCAGCTTCTGGGAACCATTGCCTTCATGGCTCCTGAGGTAAACATTTGAATTTCAAAATTAGACATGTGCCGGTATTCGGTAATGCGATAAATCGCGGTAATGAATATGCACGATATTGTTATCGCGGGCTCTTCAAAATACCGTGGAAAATAATAGATTCGAATTTAGACTTTTAGAGCGCGCATTAGCTGCTTATTTTCCTTCAACCGCTCAAACACTGCGTGCTGCGCAGAACACGTGCGCACTCTGATGTAAACAATCCCCATTATGTATAAGCACTGCGTGCATGCGACAGTGCGCACTAGTCTAATGTAAACAATCCTCACATGGAGTAGAAGCATGGCGGAACGCTCCCGACGATTTATCCCCGCAGGGCTGCCAAATCTCACACATTCAGCTTGAGACTCAAGCTTGACTTTCAGACAGGACGCGGAATACGCGCGCGACGCGCAGGGATGTTTTGTTGCTGCGTCGACCTGCATCGACCACGCCGGTGTTAAAGTTCAAAATAGTTAAACTTTTTATTTGTAAAATAGCAAATCGCGTTGTATCTGAAGGGCAACGTTGAACCAGCGTCGCATTCCGCGTCCTGTCTGAAAGGCGCTTAACGCATTTGACACTTTTCACACGCTCTCCCACAGAGAAAAATCACAGAGCAAAGAGGACACGGACACCGACAGACTAGACAGAGCAGGTTACTTTTGATATGAAAGTTGTTATTGATAAATTGAAGTTGATAAATCAGCTCTTAGGTTCTGATCACAGATCGTTGCTCCTCAGTTCAAGTAAACCGATCATCATGTTACTTTCGCTTTTATTTAAAGATACAGTACAACTTACTGAAAGGTATATTTACTCGTACATAATAACGATCAATCAGTGTTTTCAAACACGGAAAGAGGTCCGTAACACTGCAGGAGAACAGTTGTGTCAAAACGTTACATTTACCTCAGGAAAGCCATTTAATGACCAGCACATTAGAAAATAGCAAGGAGTAATTTGCTAAATATTATATTTAATTTCTCTCTGTATTAGTATGTTTACAGCATTATATGAGGTTTTTTTTTCTTGAGAAACATTAACAGACTGAGGCCTGCCTAATATTTATCCAAATGAGTCAATATTGAATTAAGACTAAAATCAAATCCAAGAATTTAATTGAATAATACAAACAGTAACCTACCAGTCATTGTAACATGTTGTCACTAAACTTTAAACAATTTGGTTTAGTTTACCATATGTTTTGAAAATCACAATTACACATTGATACAAGTTGAGTTTTTTTTTAGAGACCCACAATGCATCTGTTTTTCTTGAAATATAATTTCATTAAAATATCGTGATAATACCGTATACCGCAAATAAAAGCTCAATCAATTAACCGCAGCATGAAAATTTGATACCGGCACATGCCTAACAAAACCAGCCTGTTTACTACATAAAACGTGATGAGATGGAAGTGTTCACCCTGAAGTGTTTAAACAGGACACTGTTTAAAGGATTAGTTCACAATTTCCTGATAATTTACTCACACCCATGTCATCCAAGATATTTATGTCTTTCTTTCTTCAGCTGAAAAGAAATGAAGGTTTTTGAGGATAACATTTCAGGATTTTTCTCCATATAGTGGCTTCAATGGGGTTCATGTGACCTTTCAATGTGATTACCTAATGTGTGGCGCATCACAGGCCTAGTGCAAGACAATCATTTATGGTTAAAAAGTATAAAAATGTTTCTTGGTTTAGAGCCTTTGAAGCTGCACTGAAACTGCAATTTGGACCTGCAATCCTGGAATATTTTCCTCAAAAACCTTAATTTCTTTTCGACTTAAGAAAGAAAGACATGTATATCATGGAGTTGGGGAGAGTACATTATCAGGACATTTTAATTCTGAAGTCCATGATTGTCAGACACACAATATCAAAACTACTTTTCACAACTTGCATTCAAATAGGACAGTATGTAGCAATGGCAAAGTTTATTTTGTCTGCAATTTGTATTTGATGTATTAAATGCAAACATTACAGCCACTATATGCTTGTGTTTGGGTTTTAAACTGAGGCACACAATACTCGCTTTACTTGGGTCCAATTAATTCAACTACTTGAAGGAGATGTAGAAGTTAGCCTTCTCAAACTCTGCTTAAAGCTTTGGTTGGAAATTGAGAGACTGAGAGAAAGAGACCTTCCCAGACAAAAGAAAGCTTGTTCATTTTGAAGAGGTTTCAGTAATGAATACCCTGCTGGGACAGGCAGGGCCAGCTGAACTGCTTCCTAATTAAACAAGTTTTGGCACACAATAACAACAACGACACAAGGGGTCGGCCTATTGTGGCTTCCACAAAAGAACTGCAATTTACTTTCATTTCAAGTTACTTGGAGATCTAAATCCACTTTGTCCTATTTTCCTGACTGGCCACGCAAGTCTAAACACCACACAGGGAGGTCACCGGACTTGACCACAGTTTTGTGAAAGGACAGTGATATTTAAATGTCCAAAGCTTAGAGAGCAAGCAAGGGAGGTTGTGCACCTATGGCATGGCATGCAGAACACAATACCAAAAAAATGTTTTGAATAAACCTGGAGTCGCTGCAGAAATAAAACATTTGGATTGTCTCAGGTGATCATTTGTATATCTGACTGGTGTTTTATGTTATTTGTTTTGGGCTTGTATTTTAAATGTATTGTTAGTAAGTAAATTCTTTAGTTGGTCAACTTGGAAAACAGTAGTGTTAATTAGTGCAACAGGAACAACATTTTAGAATACAATATATTGTTACTATTGTTTATAGCCAGAGTACTGAGAATGTGCCACACAGTCTGTCTATTTGTGGTCCTTTACATGCCGATAATGACAAGTGAACTAGGGCTCATTTGAAACAAGATACTGCGGCAACAAGTAATGCACCACAGACAAAGGTGCAGTAGGTCTGAGTAGGGCTGGGAATCACCTCACGATTCATTTCGATTACAATTTCAGAGGCCTGTGATGATGAGACTGTTATCGATGCATCTTTTTTTTTTCTCTCTATAGGATTATTTTTCTCACTGTGTGACTACTTTTTATTCTTGATCTACATTTTGTTCTTATTAATTAAATAGTTTACCTTAAAATGGGATGGGGTGCATGACTTAAAATTGGGTGGTGATGGCGCAGTGGATGAGAGGCATGCCTTTGGTGTGAGAGACCCGGGTTCGAATCCACTGAGACACCAATGTGTCCCAGAGTAAAGGCCATTGCACACTGAGTACGAAATTTTCGTATTCGTTTTTTCGTGTTCGTCAGCCTAAAAATTCGTCACGCATAGAAACCTTGCACACCAAGTCCAATGCGTATTTATTAAACCTTTGTGGGAAAAAACGCAAAAATACCAAATGGATTCACAAGCAGTGAGGATGATTTTGTTGCCCTCTCTCTTATTGAAAAAAGAAGAAAGAGAAAATATTACGTTGGTCCATCCAATCCTGAAATTGCGTCGAGAGGAAAGAGAGTTCCACCTCCTTATCAAGGAGTTGCAAATTTATCCCTAGCGGTTCAAAATTTACTTCAGAATGTCAGTGGGACAGTTTGATGCTTTGCTAGCGATTCTGGAGTCACATATTAAAAACAAGACCAACAATTTCCGTGAACCAATCGATTCTGAATGGAGACTGGCAGTATGTCTAAAGTATGGACACACACACACACACACACATCTGCGCGCGGCCCGGTGGAAGCGCTGGGCAGACAGAACGGCTGTATAGGCTGTTATATATTGTGCCCAAATAATCCATTATCGAATTGGCTGCTCAATCGCATCTTATTCGATCCGAAATTTCAATCTGATTGAAAGGGGAGGTTTATTAATTTCATAATCCAATCGAGAGAAGAGAACATAAACACTTGATCGAATTGAAAACCAAAACTGAAAGCACTGCACATATGTGCAATGATTTGAGGAAGAGCTCCCCCCGGCCCTGAATTGTCAAAAGACCTCTCAAAATGCTGGCTGTGGATGCGAAAAACGCAGAAAATCGAACCCGATCTGATTAATTTTATGACGGATAAAAGTTTCAGAGGCGGTGTGCAAGCATGATTGGCATAATGTGAGGTCGAATTTTTTTTTTTAACGTGCGAAAATTTCGGATGCGAATTTCGGACTCAGTGTGCAATGGCCTTAAGACACTTACAGTAAGTGGTTCCAGAGGCACTTAACCCCTAGTGGTTCTATGTGCACTGGAACAATCATTCATAAAACGCATTAAACTTTAGTTTACAAAGACATGAAACTCACTGAGTGGTCTGGGGTGTTCACTGATTTTTGCTCGCACAAAAATCTCTGTAAAAGATGCTTTCCGACAGGTTTTATCATAGTTTTTAAACCAAGTCAACAAGTTAAAGGCAAGTCAATGGAGTCAACCATTGTGTAGGTGCTAACACAGAAACCTAAAATTCTCGGGACAGCTGCATTTGTCCAAATTTCACTCTTCTATTTCATCAGAAATGATCTTAAAACAGGGCTTTAAGTGTAAAATACTGAACTAACCCTTTAAGGTTTACCATATGAATGTGGAATGCATTTCACAACCAAAAAAAGACTACAAAGCTAAAATTTTTAAATTCAGACACTTTAGTTCAGTTCATGACAACTTGCATTTTTTTATATTCGATGGCAGCTTTATTGAATGGTCTTATTATTACTACACTTGTCGTCTCCGGTGTCAGATGAGGGTTTGTGATGGTGAACTGGTGTGTGTGTTTGTGCAGGTGCTGCGAGGGCAGCAGTACGGGCGCAGCTGTGACGTCTGGAGTGTGGGCTGTGCTATTATAGAGATGTCCTGTGCCAAGCCGCCCTGGAACGCTGAGAAACACTCCAACCACCTGGCACTTATTTTCAAGGTGAGGATTAAACTGCATGTGCGCACGTATGAGCAAAACAATAATGTAGTCTGTTTACTGAAAATTTTACCATTTACATTAGTTTATTTTTTTGTGTTATAAATGACTTCAGGTAAGTTAAGTCCTCGACATATTTGACATTTCCTTAAATATTTTACACAATAATTTTCATGCTGAACAAATAATGAAATTACTAGTTAAAACCAAAAAATAAATCGGTAAATTAAATCTAAATCAGTCCTCAGTAGCTTCAGAAAGCAAAAAAGCATTTTCTTGCATTATAGGTTAAGTTCACAGAGTTTTAACTATCTCCTGGTATTAAGATGCGTTTGGTTGATCGGATCTCAAGTGGATAACGAGTGGATTTACAAGTGTAAACGGGGTTTCAAACGCTTTGAGCTTGTCCACTTCCAGAGGTAGATGAAAACACATTCGACCGGATTGCTTTCGTAAACACTCATGTGGTCGAATGTGTTCAAACAGCCACAGTTGGACCCTTTACTCTCCACCTTAGACAAAAAAACAAACCAAGCTCTATGTTCTCTCGCCATTCCTGATTTCTAACACACACTCGCTGTGTTCAGCTGGTCTTCGGCTGTCGAAGCAGAAACTAAAGCTGATGCTCTGCTTTAGTTGATGTGTGAAAATGTGAAAATAATGTGGGTTTCCCTGTCGTCTCTGGCAGCGTTCATATGTAAATTGAGCAAGATTATATTTTGTCCATTAGATTGAGAGATCTGGAAAGCCCATACATTTACTCGCCCATAGACCCGCCTCTCCTCAAAGAAATCAGGACAGAAGAGGTGTAAAGAGGACAAAAGAGACGAATTAAAATACCGGTTGTAAACGTAAAAGTGTCTCCCTCGTCCACTTTTCGGGTCGATCGACTAAAACGCGTCTAAAAGCTGCACCCAGATATCACTGATTGTTTGTCAGTAAAACTCCACCGGAAGATGCAAATCGAGTGACTTGACCGCTCTAGAGCTTTTGTTAAAACATTTTAAAACAGAGAGGTGGTGCCAAAATCAAAAATGGTTAAAGATTTTGGCTAAAGAAACATCAGCTCTTTTTCTTTGTCTTTGATGATGGGCTGAAATTTGACAAATCATGCTTTTTTCAAGCTTTGACTACTAGTTAAAGTAAAACCTATTCTCTGTAAAGGAAAAAATTTTGAAGGAATAATTCATTCTTTTATTACAGCTAGATTGGATTACCGTAACTCACTTTATTTTGGGATTAGCTTGTCGGCTTTATCCCATTTGTAGATCCAGCTGCAAGACAGGTTCTTAAAAAACGGGCTCACATTACACCGGTTTTACGTTCTCAACACTGGTTGCCTATGCGTTAATGTATGAATTTATGAAAAATCTTTTTTTAGTGTTTAAATCTTGAAAGGGGTTTTTAAAATTGTATTATATTATTGTCTGAGGTCAACTTATGACGTTCGCTTGGTTTTTACATTCAAAAACATCAAAATGAATAAGTAATTGGCTATTTTCTACCCTAGTTTTGAGCCTAGCTCAAAAACGCTCGGTTTTTATGGGTGTCTCGCACTGAAGACTTGGAAGTAAACGTCCACTGCTGTGAGTGGATAACAGTTTTGCATATTATAATGAGTTTCAACTCACTCGTCGGTGCACTTGGGGGAAATTGTTTTGAAAACGTCCAATGTTGTAAAATGGCAACCGGAGTGATTCGCCCGTACATGTTCGGTTCGTCATCACGAGGTAGGTCTATGTTATTTAGCTATGCGTGTAATGCGCGAATCTGTGGGCGGGGCTAAACCGGCCATGTTGAAGTAGGCGTTGATCTTCTGTTGAGGTGGTGTTTTATCCTCTTTGACGTCATAGTTCCCCACTTTGAAAAACGAGTCGTTTTCAGAGGCTGGTGTCAATAAAAGCTTTTATTGGACTAACAAGGACGTTTTCAGTTCTGAAACTTACAGGATATTCTTATAATAGGATGACCTCTTAGATGTCAAAAGCTCAAGGAAAATTTGACTTCTCAGTTCATCACCCCGTTAAACGGTTTGGCTCCTCCTCACCTCTCGGATTTATTGACTGAACATCGTCCAGTTTTGTCTCTTCGGTTGTCCAACCAGAGATCGTTGTGCATTAGAAAGTCTCTGACCTTCTGTGTTTGATCTGTATCACCACTGTCTGTATTTAAATCTAAGTTTCAACCCCTTTTGTTTATGTGTCACACAGTCAATGAGGGAGTTATGTGTTTTTTATGAATTATATTGTATTGTCTTATTGTTGTGTGTTTATTGTGTAGCACATCGGTCAACCTAGAATGTGATAAATGCTGCTATGTAAATAAAAGTGACATTGCCATTCTGACTGACTCCTCGCTTAGATTGCCAGCGCCACCACGGCTCCAGGCATCCCCCCCCACCTGACCCCGGGCCTGCGGGACGTGACCCTGCGCTGCCTGGAGCTCCAGCCCTCGGACCGGCCGGCCTCCCGAGAGCTGCTGAAACACCCCATCTTCAGGCACACCTGGTAGAGGCGGCGCACTACTGAAGCCTGGTCCTGCTGACACGCTCCTACTGCTAGTCTACACACTTTCTGTCTTTCACAGTCAAAACACACTCATTGCAGAGAGCCCTGAATGTTGTATGTTTGCATAAATTTCTGTTTTTAAGTTTAGATCTCTGATCTTCTGGAAGGCTGAAAATCAGGTCACCTTTTAGAAATCCAGCCTGAGTTCCGGCGTTCAGTGGCTCGTGTGGTGAACGCATTCGACTTTAGACGGATCCTAATGTTTTCACACCATGAATGTGTTTTGGTGAAAGACAAATCTCTGCTAGTTGAACTAGCGCACCGCTGAATGTGAATGCTTATGATGCCGGTATGGTTCACTTTTCATTTCTAAACGGAGATCATGTTGTATAAACGTCTGGTTTTACATGATTTAGCTTAATGGGTGTAATTGGGATCCTTTTCAAAGCTATCGCCCAATTTTAGACTGTGATGTGCATCTGTAAATCTTGTTTAAGAGTCTCACTGGAACATCATTTCGGATCTCCAGCTCGATTTCAGTTTATATGTCGTGATTTGACTTATTTCTTTAATTTGGGTGTCATGACCTCATCATGATTTAGTTGAACTTTCCTTTCCAGCTGTTATTTAGCCATGTTATTGGTGCTGTTCTGTTCGCGTTCACGAACATCCAAGACGTTTTGTAAGAGATTAAGCTTCCTAAAGGAGCATTCAGCTCGCGCAACTGAATATTTCCTCGTGTGTTATTTACTCCATTACAAACGTTGAACATTTAGGTGGAGGGATCATATTTAGCTAACGACTTTAGTGCTCGTAAACACTGTTTTTCTTTCCCAAAAACCATTAACTTTATGCATGTTCTGAAAACATGTCAGGTGTCTGAACTGTAGCTCTTCAAGCATTGTTGCTTTTTAGGTTTTCTTCCATTTTTAAAAACCATTTTAAAAGAATATTAATGACCTTATTTGGACTCCGTTCACACACATCTCGAGTTGTAAACGTGACGATTTCAAAAATATTTTTTCAAAGTAATGTTATTTAATGCAAGTTCTACTGCTTTGTGGAAAACAGGCTGATCAAGCTTGAAGAGTTAAGATGTAAATATGAATTTTGGTAGCTAAATGTATTTTACTTGACTCCCGCATTTTTAAAGCCACAATACTCATCATAAATGCGTATTTTGTTCCTGATATGTGTTTCTTTTCTATTTTTTTTTTCCTATGCCTTTATGAAAGCTTTAAAGTTATGCACTCTGTCTTTTTATATACTGGAAAGGTGTCTGTTTCAGTCGGCTTGATAAAATCTAATCAGTATTACTTGAGTTTCCACATCTTCTGTCATTTCTTCAGTTGTCCTCATCTCACTGCGTTCTGTTGTTCTGTTATTTCACGGGCTTTTTGTTCTGGGCTTGAACGGACCTGTATGAAATGATGCTGTTTCTCGTCACTTGGTGGTACTTTTTATGTGAAGATTGTCTATTGCTGTTTTATTCCAGTCTTTTCTACCTCAGGTGTCCTCTAGAGTTTTCTTCTACCAAAGTTCACTTTCTCAATATATATAAATAATTATATAGATATATATATAAATATATATTCTTTTATTTTAATTTTATATCTCTGATTTGATTCTTTGTTTGTTTTTTCCTCAAAGATCTCCAGGGCTTAAGGGCTAACTTATATTAGCTCCTTTTATTGTGCAAATAAATCTCTGGGTTCAGCAAAAGAAAATGAAAATTGGCTAAAGCTGTATCTTTTAATCCTGTGTAGCTTTTGTCAAAAATGTTTTAATTATTAGGTTTTTACCCCATTTGAAGCATTTTATAATGAAATCTACCTATTTTGGTCTTTATAGCAAATAAAACGTATAGGAAAATCAGTTTGTTCTTGTGTTTTTTGGCTCTTTTTGGTTCATATTTGGTCCTTTTATTCTGAGTAAACACAGCATGGATGTGCTGATTACATGCGGATTAATCAATCTAACTGGTTTCAATTACATTTGTAAGAAATATGGTCGTCTTAATAGGCTAAAAATAACTTCCTTCAGTTTAGCTATGGCCTGTTGTGGTGATGGAAACCAGTAAAATCTTATACAACTTTGCCTTTAAACATTTTCGTAATAATGTGATTCATCTGGAAGGGTTTTTATTTTTTTTTTTTTTTACATTAAAAACCTTCTATTGTGTTTCTTTAACTCATGGAGAAACTAAGACCCCATTTAAACCTGGTATTAAAATGCGATCTGTATCCAGATAAGTTATCCGGATAATAAAAAACGCATGTTAATGCAAGGTGTAAATGCGTTGTGATCGGATCGCGATCGGATCTGCCTGACCACATCTGGAGGTAGTCTGGCTCGCATTGTGTCCGGACATTTAGGTGTAAACGCAATCTGGTTGTTGTCGAAACCACATATGTATATTTTACTCCTCCCAAAAAGGCAAAAAATAAACGAGTAAGCTTGTTATATAGGCTATATGTCATGTTATTGTCAGATATGACGGCGCTACTGCGACACCCATCACCGCAGATGAGCAGCTGAGCGTCTATTCATCGAGCCAACGTGCAAAACATCGCAAATAAAAGTGAAAGTAAGTCACAGACGCTTAACACACAATCATCTTCAAGTAAAGAAACGAAATTATCTTACCAGCGCTGTTGCCACTCTTTTATTGATGTCTTTGATTTGGAAATTAGCTGATGATCAACGAAATGCAGCTCAAATCTGTTGCTTTTGGTGGCGTGCAATCCATTAAATCTGCATACGCGGGAGTTTAAGATCGGATTTATGTCCGTTTTGCAAAAACACATTTATGTGGCCAGGTGTAAATGGAATCGGTACTTATTATCCGGATAACTTATCTGGATACAGATCGCATTTTAATACCAGGTGTAAATGGGGTCTAAAGGAGAAAAACAGTCGTCTTTCTAAATTATATACACACAAAAGCTGATTATATGTAATCTGGATTATAATCTAATTCTAAAAATTACTTGTAAATCGATTATATTACATTTTAAAATACTTTTTTAACTTATTGATTGCATTCACACAATGGAAGTAAATTATTTATTATTTATTTATTCTTCCTTATTCTTTTTTTACATGCACAAATTCATAATTTCATATTTAAATGTAACACTATAATTCCCAAAAAGTTTTCGTCATCCAAACCTCGTTTACTAATATATTTATTTATATTTAATGTAATTTTTAATTCAAATCATGTTACTGCTAACAAAGAATAAATTATTTTATTTCTTGTTTTATATACTCTTCTGTGTTTTTAGTACAAGATTATTTTAATGTGATCAACAGGTCAAAATAATTTAAAATGTATTAATCATTTAAAAGTCATGGCCTATTTTTCTTATGTAACAAACTATGATTTTTGTAATGTAAGTCTATAAAGATTTATTCATTTAACTTTTGCATGTTACTTTGCTCTATTTCATCTAGTATATACTAACTAACGTTAGACCTCTTAAAATGTCTTGAGGATTTATTTATCGTTATTGATTTAGTTTCTGTTGAACAGTCTCTCCCATTTCTATAATGTACATGTCATCCTAATAATCTAAACTGATAAGGAGGAAGGTATAGACATTGTTAAAGTTTCAAGTATTTTAATAACATAATACTTTTCTGAATATGTTCACACTAAGGATTACCTTATATTGTCATTTCAGTGAACACTTTCACATGATCCTCCGATATGATGTGTTTCATCGTTCAACCTCTTGTAGTCATGGAAACGATATTATGCTTCCCTATTCGCGCAGAAATGGCGAGCGGAATCAGCCGTGCGCTCTGATTGGCTGCTGCTCTCTCACCATACACCGTCATCCACTCACACCATTGAACCACTATGCGCACCTCGTCTAGCGACCCTCCTTTCTCAAGCGCTCATTGGCTGAGAGCGTGAAGGGGCGGGAAGATGAGGAACTTCAGAACGCGTTCTGTGTTTTGATTGGCTGTGTTGGAAGCGCTCCAGAAGCAGACGCGCGCGTTGCACAGGTATCGTCCGTTTGCCGTGTATAAATAGTATGTCTTTAATACCGTCTTCAACGGCCGCTTTACTCAATGACAAGCTCTCTTAGGAACTGAACTTTGTTATAAAGGTAAGTCCAGTCTAAAACTGTTTTCACATTCAACAACATTAATGTGCTTAATTCTGACGTAAAATGTATCTAAATTAATATTATAGCCTATTTTATAAAGTTCTGGCTACACTACATTAACTTCCAAATGACTTTTATTCTTAACTTAACATTAACTTCCAAATGACTTTCATTCTCCAAATGACTATCTCTCGATAGTTCAGCATGCTCTTGAAAAACTCTCTTTTTTTCTTTTTTTTTTTTTTACTTTTATTAAAGATTAATAATTATTCTAAAATACATAATAAGCTAAGCTAAATGAAATATCGACGCAACACTAATAAAATCCCAATGACCAACTTCCTGAATTAAATTTAATATGAGCGCTTTTGTCTAACTTTCTTCCGATCTCGTTAACTATCAGTAACGTTACTAGTGACTACTGATGTTAAATATGGGCGAATTCAGGAGACAATTTTGCCACTGAAATGACTGGGGGAAAGTGTCTCAATCACCCTGAAATTACAGAACCCAGATAGCAAACTGACATTGAATCAACGTGGAAATATGACATCGAAACAACGTTGATCTGACATTGTTTTGCTCATCGAATTATGGTTGAACCAACGTCAGACGCGTCATTCTTTCAAAACTAACGGAAAATCAACTTGAAATCAACGCGTTGTTTCAACGTTATGAAAGCAAACCAATTTTCGATTTTCATTTAAGTTAGTTTTGAAGAATGCCGCGTCTGACGTTGGTTCAACGTTAATTCGATGAGCAAAATCAACGTTGTTTCAATGTCGTGAGAGACGTCGTTTCCACGTTGATTCAATGTCAGTTTGCTGTCTGGGAAACGACGTAAATTGAATATATTTTAAACAAAACCTCGCGCATCATACAACTTATACATCTAAAGTCCATTTGGTGTTTGCTAAAAACAAACAAAAAACATAATATTGGTTTAAAAACGTTTAAGGCATTAATTACATGTTCGTATTTACGCGTCCCGAATATTAGCATTCAAAAAAGTGGGAAATTCCAGTGTAGTACACTGGTTGTGCGAACTGTCAAAGCTCTCTGGAACTGTGTATGTAGTGCGCGTGTGTCGAGGCGCGCTCCTTCGTCAGCGGAAGACGGTCCGTCGACAAACACTGCTCGAGTACACACTCATCACACATCTGACCTTATGAGATCTCCCCCCGGACGACTCTGAGCTCGCCATCCCGCAGACTCGCTAGAGAACTGATATATGATTGTAAGGTAAGAAGAACTGTGTGCGAATGAAGTCGTGTATGTGTCGCGGTGATGACTGAGGTGTTCGCGGTCCGCCAGTGACACAAGTAACGTTAACGTTTGGTGGAGTCATTGCCTAGCCCTAGACCCTTTCCAGAATTAACGTTATGTTAAATGTAACTTAAATGTATAATTGGCGTTTATTAGTTGCTTATTAAAATGAACTATTGCCCAGAGAAGCGTCAGTGAGGAGTGAACGCGTTTCCACACCACGACAAACCAGAAAGCTTGATTTATACCGCGTTATTTACTTATAAAATCAGTACAAGTATTAAGTTTTTTTTTACAGAGGAATTATTATATCATCCAAATCAAACAAGAACAACAATTTATAATGGTGTAATTCATATTGATTAAAGTCAACTAGTTGAAAGAAACATGGCAAGTTAGCTGTTTTTACCATCTATATCTATGGTTTTAACCCTACAAGACAAGATCACGTGATACCAAAATCCATTTACTTCTGTTTATTTCAGTTGAACTCTTTTATGCACATTCCCTGTGCGTAAATAAATCAATACCAATAGTGTTTACAAGGTCGTTTTTTTTTGTTTTTTTTACATTGACTGATCAAGTGTGTTTACTTGACACGGAACAGGACAAGTTCCGCTGCCGCAGAGCCATATCTATGTGGGTTAAAGGTAATGTCCTTTAGCCAGCGAAGGGTTAATCTCATTAGAGGAGAGCAGAGCTCCAGGGCTCACAGGCTCTGCCTTGTGCCTCTCACTACCAATGGCTTTTTCCTCAGGACGCTGTACACATATTTGTTTTCATATTTCCGCTTGTCGTCTCATGGTATTTATGAATATCCTCCCGGTCAAAAGTTTGGAAAAATATGATTTAAAAAAAAATGTGTTCGTCTGCTCAGCAAGACTGCATTTTATACGATAAAAACTATAATATTGTGAAATATTATTAAAATAATGAAATTGTTTTCTATGTGAATAGATAGTAATATGTATTTTTTTATTCCTGTGATCAAAGCTGATTTTTCTGCCTCATTACTCTAGTCTTCAGTGTCACATGATCCTTGAGAAATCATTCTAATATGATAATTTGATGCTTGAGAAACATATTAGAAAAAATATGTACTTTTATTCTGGAAGAACACATTACAATATATCGAGATGCATTGCCCAAATTAATGCTATCAAGACAAGTTTTCTTTAAAAATATGAAGCAGCACAACTGTTTTCAAAATTGATGATAATCATAAATATTTCCTGAGCATCAAATACTCATATTAGACTCAATTTCAGAAGGATCATGTTGCACTAAAGACTGAAGTAATGATGCTGAAAACTCAGCTTTGATCGTAGCAGGAATAAATTACAGTTTACAATAAATTCACATAGAAAACTGATTTTTTTAAATTTATTAATATTTCTGATCAAATAAATGCAGTTTTTTCTGAGCATAGGAGACATCTTATCAAACTCAAACATTATGAAATATGTTCCTCTGCTCATATCTGTGATCTGCGACCCTGTTCTCTAGACATCAGTGTTGAATAACCCCTGTACGCCTGCTTTATGTGAGTCCATGTGATGAATTATACACTTCTGTCTCAGTCCATTCAGAATGCCTGGATCCCTCCCTGCAGTTTGTGAGGCCGCGTGGCCCAAAGATGTGGGCATCTTGGCCATGGAGGTCTACGTGCCCTCACAGTTCGTTGACCAGGCCGAGCTGGAGGAGTACGATGGCGTCGGGGCGGGGAAGTACACTGTCGGCCTGGGACAGGCCCGCATGGGCTTTTGCTCAGACCGGGAGGACATCAACTCCCTGTGCCTGACGGTGGTCCAGCGCCTGATGGAGAGGAGCGGCCTGTCCTACGACAGCGTGGGCCGGCTCGAGGTCGGCACCGAAACCATCATCGACAAGTCCAAGTCCACTAAGACGGTCCTGATGCAGCTGTTCGAGGAGTCGGGCAACACCGACGTGGAGGGAGTGGATACCACCAACGCCTGCTACGGGGGAACTGCCGCACTCTTCAATGCCATCAACTGGGTCGAGTCCAGCTCCTGGGACGGTGCGCTGCTCTCTCTCACACACACACACACACATCTGGGTCGAGTCTTGCACAATATCTAAAGTGTCTCACCACAATATCTAAAGACAAATATTCATATTTATAGGTAAAGAACAATAGGGCAGTGTGTTTTTTTTTTTTTTGTATTGTAACACTGTTTTTAGGACAGTTAAGCATGCCATTTCTGTCATTTTATGTATATATGGTAATATTTGAAATACTGCCTTTAATTTAAATGATACAACTTTTAATTACAGTAGTGAGAATCGCCATTAAGAATAATGGGAATTACATATTCTAAGTTTAAAAAAACTAAGAATTTAGTGTAGCAAATACCCCTTAGTTATTAGAGAATAATGTTGCAATGAAAAAAATCACAACAGTCCTAAAACATGCATTATGACCTTCTATGCATATTTTATTTGGGTAAGTTTTTATTTTAGGGTCAAATGTGTCCACATTTGTTATAAAGAGTTGTATTCTGTTGTTTGCCTGTTGAGCATTGACTGACTGACTGGTCTTGATGGTGCAGGTCGCTATGCTGTGGTCGTCGCTGGTGATATTGCGGTGTACGCCACGGGCAGTGCCAGGCCTACAGGGGGCGCCGGAGCCGTGGCCATGTTAGTGGGACCCAATGCCCCTCTGGCCTTTGAGAGAGGTATGAGGCCTGCCTGACATCAGCTGTCATGACACCTCACACACACACACACAGCTCTAACTAAGCAGGATCTGGTGTGAAACCGAGGTTAAAGTCCACATTATATTCACGCTATAATCGGCAGTTATACCTGTGATGATCTGTATTCTTTGTTTCATGAAGTCATTGAAATGTAATCACGTATTTCCACAGGGCTTCGTGGGACACACATGCAGCATGCGTATGATTTCTATAAGCCAGATATGGTCTCCGAGTATCCAGTGGTGGACGGCAAGCTCTCCATCCAGTGTTACCTCAGCGCTTTAGACCGATGCTACTCCGTCTTCAGGAACAAGATCCACGCCCAGTGGCAAAGAGGTTGGCTAATATGTCCACATATTCCTAAACAATGTAAATCAATCATTGACTCTCTCTCTGATTAATTTTTATGTGTTTATTTGTATTATTCTGCCATAATGTGAAAGTAAATCGTGACTGAGGGCTGCCAGATAGCAATAATATCCAGACACAATTTCTATATACCCTCTTTATTTTAAGTGTCTACATTTACATGCATCATTTGATACATTGCACTTCTTGTGTACATCCATGTTTTTACATTGTTGATGTATTTAATTTTGCCTGCATTTAATTCCAGCTGTTATAATTTCTGTCACACTGTTTACCCCTTAACCCTCCCTTAAAATCAGCCAAGCTTACATTATTTAGTAAACTGATTTCCACTTTAATTTAAAAAAAAAAAATGTAACAAACACGATTAATGTGTAAGCCCATCTATATTGGTCCAATGATGGTATCCTCATTGTATTATATGGGGAAGGTTTCTCACGTGTTCCGTCTTTTCTCATGGCAAAGGTTTGTGGGTTAAATACTATACATTTTCTCATATGCATTTTCTTATGAAACGGTTTTAATGATGTCCATGCATCATTAAATGTGAGCGAGTGTTTGACTGTTCCTTTAACTCTAATGAACATGTCAAAGTCATTTAGAATAATCTCAAAACTCATCTTGTAGTATGTCTTCTGCTGTGTTTCAGAGGGTGTTGAGCGCCGCTTTAGTCTGGAAGATTTTGGCTTCATGGTCTTCCACTCTCCTTACTGCAAACTGGTCCAGAAGTCTTTGGCTCGCCTAATGCTCAACGATTTCATGAGTCACCCATGTCCAAACACAGAGAGCGGGCCCTTCAGCGGATTAGAAGCTTTCAGGTTAATAGGCTCCTTCAGCTGATGATTGAGCGTTAAAAAGAGACGCATCAATTGTAACATTAATTAATTCATCACAATATATTTTTATTAAAAGAAAAAGTTCACCAAAATGGAAAATTCTGGCTTTTGGCAACAGCAGATGATAGTGACCACGTCTTAAATAAACCAAACGTTTTAAATTTCTTTACCTTTTTTTTTTGTAGAGACGTGAAGATTGAGGACACTTATTTCGACAGAGATGTGGAGAAGGCCTTTATGAAAGCCAGTTCAGAACTGTTCGAGAATAAAACCAAAGCATCTCTCCTTATATCCAACCAGAACGGCAACATGTACACACCGTCAGTGTACGGCTGCTTGGCTTCAGTTCTCGCACAGTAAGTGTCACGGGTTTCACACAGCATTCATGGTTCTATTCAAAGCCACTGCAAACGGGATTCTTATTATTATTTTGTAAATCTCCACAGACACACACCGCAGCACTTGGCAGGCCAGAGGATCGGTGTGTTTTCTTACGGCTCAGGCTTTGCTGCCACACTCTACTCCATCAGAGTCACACAAGACGCCACACCTGGTACACACACACACACACACACACACACACACAAAAGCGGTTTCTATTAGAGTGTCATTCCCCTAAACTAGGATGGGCGGTACGGCCAAGCTCACAGTTATGGGACAACACATTTTGTCACTTATGTGGAATTTCAACCCAAAAATGTTTAAGATGTATTGGATTATTATATAGTAGTCATGCCTATTTTTTGATAGTGAATTAAATGAAAACTACTCCATCTTTATTTGGAACTAGCCAAATAGTAACAAAAAGATTGCTTAAGTAAATCTGGCATGCAGGCTTTGCCCACACGGGATCAGCTGGATTCTGTATTATTGTGCTGTATTATATTTGCAGCATTGCTTGACAACTGAAAAAAACCTACACTTACAGTAGCTATGTTTCCATCCACCTATTTGTATTTTAAACAAAAAGCTGAATGGAAACGCCAGGATTAACACAACTTCTAAAAAAATCATACTTTGAATTGCATGTGATGTCAAGTAATGGCTGGCGGGCAAGAACGCCATTCTCCAGCAACGAAACCCAGTAAACTATTAAACTAATGCTGACATGATTCTCGGAGCGGCTGTGTAGATAAACATCGAAAACATCGCAAGCGTCATGCATGCTTCAGTCTGTGTTTGAGTGTTGTGGTAAATGAGACATCAGTAGCCCTCAATCGGGTCATGGGGTCTATACGACCCCAATCGACTTCGAAAAATCGAAAAAAGGTTCCCTTCATCCCAGTGGAATAAGATTTTGTGACTTTTCATACATTATCTATCTATACACACAAACTGAGCTTGATTGAGTACAAAAGTACTTTATATCTCCAAAAACACAGCATTAATGAATAGATGAGAAGTAAACAAAAAAAAATTATATATTATTTATATGATTAAAAATTTTATATTATTTGCACAATTACTCAAACAATTGTTGGGGTCATATAGACCTCGAAGCCCAGAAGTGTAAACAGGAAACGAAGACCATTTGAAGGTTAAATGGTTTTTCAGAGAGACACAGAACATGCATGATTCCTATTTAAATACTTTTTATGCAAATATTCACATAAACTAGTCTATGTCACGATTTTATCCAAGATGTAACAGTTCCGTGAATTTCCGGGTTATACAGTAAATTCCATTTCTATGCCTGGATTGCGCAATTCTGTCCGCGTTTTCTGACATCGCAACTTGGGAAAATGTAGCTTGTGTGTAGTGTGTGGACGCTACCGCACTACTTGATCGAAAAAAGAGCTTTGCTTTTGAAAAGCTAATAGATTCAGAAAACAGCGACGCTACTGCCGCGCTACTGAGAAATGTAGTTAAACTTGTTGCGTCACTACTTGCGGCAACGCTATTGCTCAACACTGATTAAACATTTAAATAAATTTGTAATCCTACAATAACGACCTCCCAGAATCATCTCACATGCATCAAAGGTCATCAAAGCTGGAGGGGAAAGAGCCACAGCATCTTACCCGACTGCAGTAACTTTCATTCTTATTACTGAGATTTTGTGCCAGTTTCCCAGGAAGTGACGTCTTTGTTCTCTTGAAACCATGGGATGGAAACGTTACTATTTTCGTGAATCTTTATGCAATTACTCTAATTCTGTGTATTTTTTACTAAAGTGTCTGCACCGGATGCAAGCTGTGTGTCACGTCAGAATCCCATTACAATCTGTGATGCTGTCTACAGTGGATATATCACGCTGTCAGCTACTTCCAACAACACAACATTTGGATTTAGAATATTTTTTTAGAATGTTCAGTGTGGACACAGAATCACACCGTGGACACAAGCGCCGCACAACGTACTTATACTGAACAAAGCTGCCTGAAGTTTCTATAAGAGGCTAGTCGTATCGCCCAGCCACTGTTAGCTCAAGGTTGATGACAGTCAGTCAGTCTGTTGTGCTAACGTACATCTTCAATTCAAGGCTCTGCTCTGGACAAGATGGTCTCCAGCCTGTGTGACTTGCAGGCCCGACTGGACTCCAGAACGAAGGTTTCACCGGGGGTTTTTGCTGAGAACATGAAGCTCCGAGAAGAAACCCACCATTTAGGTAATCAAGCGCTTATGTTCTGTTCTTCTCGCATTCATTTTTGTCTTTCTGAAAATCTTTTGGATCCATTTGATGTGATCTTTGTCATATTCCCACAGCAAACTACATCCCTCAAGGCTCTGTGGAGGACCTCTCCCCGGGAACATGGTACCTGACCCGTGTGGACGAGAAGCATCGCAGACAGTACGCCAGGCGCTCGATGAACGACCACAGGTCTCTGGAGGCAGGACTGCTCACTGCAGCCGAGGTACACACTCACCCTGGAACAGTTAAACATGTTCATTCAGCTAGAAGTAAAGCCCATGACGTGTGTGTAGAGAACGTGATGTCAATTAAATCAGTTTTACTGTACACACAGACCGATTATCACATCCTGACCCTCTGGTGCTCTTCGCGTGTCGGTCAAAAAAGTTTTTTTTTTTCTTTTTCAATGAAATTAATTGACTATATTGTAGTTCGATAATGTTTTTTATTTAATATTTTGGATTTTTAGGGGATTTTGTGTTACTAAATTACATTTATTCACTTTTTGAGCGCAGACCTGAAACTTTAATTTCCAACTTAAACTGTCGTAAAAGCACAGACTGAAGTTTGATCTCTTTTCAAAGATGACACTTGGCAGATTATTGCTTAAGTGATTTTTTTTTTTAGGTTTATTTTTTTGAAAAAAATGCAAAAATACTATTTTAAATTTGCATATGATACTTTGAAAAACATGTTTTACTCTAAAACTGTGAGAAAATCAAAGCCGTAAATCTAAACAAGTTGTGTTGAAAATTTGAGCCTGCTATCTCAAAAAATTTCCTTTCCAAAAAAAGTTTCGTACCATTCTGATGAAGGAAAAAAAAAACGTACAATTTTTCGAAGGGCACCAGAGGATTAATGCCAGGTGTAAACATGGCCTGAGAGCGATTGCCGTGTTCATATATGCCTAAACAAACCCAGCTAGTGTAGGACACGACCTGTTCTGAAACACACTCCAGTCTTTTTTTGTAGTAAATCACTTCTAAGTGTTTTGTGTTTTTCTGTCCTTCTCAGCATATCCCCAGCCCGCTCAAGAAGATGCCCCGTATCCCAACTACCACAGCTGGCCCTGAGGTGGTCGTCAGTAACGGGGATCATTAATTGCCTCTGTGAGGTGCAGGTTATGTAGAGGGACACAGGATCTGGAGAAGAAACAAGCTAAACAAGACCCCAGGACTTCTGCAGCCGTCAAATCAAACTCAAAGCTTTTTAAATGTCCCAGGACAGAATTAGTTTGACCGTCACTGTGTTGAAGATGCAGTGTTAGTACATGGAAGGTTTCTCTGCTGCTCGGAGTCATCTATTCAGACCTGCTGACTTCTTTAATCCTTTTAACTTCAAATATCTACCTGTTGGCCTTTCACAAGGTCCATGTCGTCGATCCCGTCAGTCATCACACGAGGGGTCGGAGCGTCTAAACGTGGATGTTTTAGGGAAGATCGGCCCTCGTTTTTAATTGATCTAGAAGCTGCAGTTTTCACGCTCACGGCTGTATCGCTCTGTCAGGATTTGTGTTTTTAACTCTTTTTAGTCAGTCTTATCACCATGGCCATGTCAGGGAAATGTGCCTGGGTCACATATTAATATGAGCCATAAATGTATAGTTTTAATTGCATACAGTAAGTACATAATTGTTTAGTTACTGCTAAACTGGCTTGTGTTGGCATTTATGTCCTTTGAAACGAGAATCATAAGTAGATGGTGTTCATTTATAATGAACCCAGATTAGGAAATAAAGTCATGATTATTGTTAGAGGATAAAAGATTGATGACAACATTAAATGTTAGAATCAGTCACACTGGTAACAGCAAATTATATATATCACAACTTACCCTAAAAATGAGAAATGATATGATTTAAAGCCATCAAATTTTTGACCTTTGATTGTTTCAAACACAGAGCACTTATCGGTAATGATGCAGAGATTTATGGGAGAAGCAATATTAGAAATAATGCTACAATATTGTAGAAGGTTGCACCTTAAGACCTTAATGTCAAAGGGCTCAAGACAGATATTATAGGTTAAAAGCAAAGAAGAGACATTTTCAGACAGAGATTGCACTTAATTACACAAACACTGAGAGCAAGATGGCTTTTCCTTCCAGAACATTCTTCAATCCGTGGGTCCATGTTAACATCTGAAGAAAAACTACATATCATCAACTTTGAGAAGCCTTATTCTAACCATGTCCAAAACACAAAGGGTTTTTTTTTTTTTTTTCTGAAAACTGTATAGAGGAATTTTTCTTTCTTTTCGTTCTGCTGCCAGGACATTTTGACTGTAAAGATATAACTTGAAACAGACAATGTTTACAAGAGGTTTCCCTGAGATCAGTTCATGCCAATAATTGGCAAGTAATGTACAGTACTAACTTATGTTTGCAGATGGACAAAAATTGGAATCTGATCAGATGCATCTTGAAGAAGCTGTATTGAGGATGTCACAATATCACATGGGAATATGTTCATATATGAACTGAGGATTAAATGTTCTTTTGCTGATGCCTCTGTTTTTTTTTTTGTGTCCACTGAATTACTGCAGGGCTAGAGTAATATCATGTATCATAAATATTTACATATGTAACATTTGGGCACTTTGCCTAGTCAGCAGTTTCAGATTGGCTTGAATACACAGCTGTTTGGTCCAGTCGTGTGTGTACGCGCAGAAGAACACACTCCTCACAGATGTCTGCTTCACACACATATCATTGTGCTCTCTACAAATCATTTATATTTTTGTAGGAAGCATTATTGATTAATAAGTCCATCGATAAATGCTCCAAAAATATGTATTACTAACTCTTATTGCATTTCATATGCAAGTATTTGTTATTGAAAGTCTCCCTGTGGTGAAAATCAAGCTTTAAATGTTGTTTATATGCCTATGTGGTGTTTTTAATAAGACATTTGTGCATTTGGCTGACACTTTTATCCAAAGCGAACAACAAAATAAAAAAGAGCAGCAAATTCAGCTCAATCTCATTAAAATACATGTGGTTTAAACATAGATGATTGGTCACTCTTTTATTTGTTTAGCAATATTATTGTTGTATTTTAACTGCCCACTATTCATGAGAAAAACAACATGTCTCTCATTACTTGTTTTTTTTTTTTTTGAATTATTTTTTTTATTGACAAACTATAGATAACAACAGATGACAGCATGAGAAAAAGGAGACAATTACATCAAATTGGAATATAAGTACAGTAAGAGAGAAAAAAGCAGAGGAAGTAACTTAAATTTCATATTGCTCAACATATTACATTTTCACAAATTTGACACATTTTTTGTTATTCTTTTTAGTGTGTTAATAAAATAATTAAATTCACAGAGAAAACATTTAAACTGGGTACTCTTAAAGAATATTTGCATTTGTGAATAAAATATTTTCCCAATGTCTTGCCGATTAGCTACCGATCTCCATAAGACATCTCACCGAGGCACTTTATGTCGGGCAGCCACGCGCGCCCCAACGTAGGCACGATCTAATTTGTTGTCTGGGTAGTCTATTGGTTACTGTTTTACTGAATCTATGATACTTCAATGCAATGTTTGAGTGGTAGATAATAACCGTATATCGTCAATATTATAATATCAAGCTACCATAAATGAGTCAGCAAAATCGATTTGAATTACAGCTTGAGGCAAGAAAAATAAAAGAATATCACAGAATAGGGATCCAAAAATATGATTTTGTACATCTTATATATTTCCTTGCAAGAATGTAGCCCCTACCAAACTTGTACGCTGTTTAGAAGTTAAAACACCAGTTAACTTTATTTTGAAGATAAACGGAGGATAAGATAGCTTCCGTAACATAGTAAGGCAGAAAAAACTGTGTGGATCTGTCAGGCACAGGCGCTCCCTGTGTGGATCTGTCAGGCACAGGTGCTCCCTGTGTGGATCTGGCGGGCACAGGTGCTCCCTGTGTGGATCTGGCAGGCACAGGTGCTCCCTGTGTGGATCTGGCAGGTACAGGCGCTCCCTGTGTGGATCTGGCGGGTACAGGCGCTCCCTGTGTGGATCTGGCAGGTACAGGCGCTCCCTGTGTGGATCTGGCGGGCACAGGCGCTCCCTGTGTGGATCTGGCAGGCACAGGCGCTCCCTGTGTGGATCTGGCAGGTACAGGCGCTCCCTGTGTGGATCTGGCGGGCACAGGCGCTCCCTGTGTGGATCTGACGGGCACAGGCGCTCTCTGTGTGGATCTGTCAGGCACAGGTGCTCTCTGTGTGGATCTGGCAGGTACAGGCGCTCCCTGTGTGGATCTGTCAGGCACAGGTGCTCTCTGTGTGGATCTGTCAGGCACAGGCGCTCTCTGTGTGGATCTGGCAGGTACAGGCGCTCCCTGTGTGGATCTGGCAGGCACAGGCGCTCTCTGTGTGGATCTGTCGGACACAGGTGCTCCCTGTGTGGATCTGGCAGGTACAGGCACTCCCTGTGTTGGTGACGGGCACAGGTGCTCCCTCTGAGGATCTGGCAGGTACAGGCGCTCCCTGTGTGGTGGCGGGCACAGGTGCTCCCTTTGAGGATCTGGCAGGCACAGGCGCTCCCTGTGTGGATCTGGCAGGTACAGGCGCTCCCTGTGTGGATCTGGCAGGCACAGGCGCTCCCTGTGTGGATCTGGCAGGCACAGGTGCTCCCTGTGTGGATCTGGCAGGTACAGGCGCTCCCTGTGTGGATCTGGCGGGTACAGGCGCTCCCTGTGTGGATCTGGCAGGTACAGACGCTCCCTGTGTGGATCTGGCGGGCACAGGCGCTCCCTGTGTGGATCTGGCAGGCACAGGCGCTCCCTGTGTGGATCTGGCAGGTACAGGCGCTCCCTGTGTGGATCTGGCGGGCACAGGCGCTCCCTGTGTGGATCTGACGGGCACAGGCGCTCTCTGTGTGGATCTGTCAGGCACAGGCGCTCTCTGTGTGGATCTGGCAGGTACAGGCGCTCCCTGTGTGGATCTGTCAGGCACAGGCGCTCTCTGTGTGGATCTGTCAGGCACAGGCGCTCTCTGTGTGGATCTGGCAGGTACAGGCGCTCTCTGTGTGGATCTGTCGGACACAGGTGCTCCCTGTGTGGATCTGGCAGGTACAGGCACTCCCTGTGTTGGTGACGGGCACAGGTGCTCCCTCTGAGGATCTGGCAGGTACAGGCGCTCCCTGTGTGGTGGCGGGCACAGGTGCTCCCTTTGAGGATCTGGCAGGCACAGGCGCTCCCTGTGTGGATCTGGCAGGTACAGGCGCTCCCTGTGTGGATCTGGCAGGCACAGGCGCTCCCTGTGTGGATCTGACGGGCACAGGCGCTCCCTGTGTGGATCTGGCAGGCACAGGCGCTCCCTGTGTGGATATGACGGGCACAGGCGCTCCCTGTGTGGATCTGGCAGGTACAGGCGCTCCCTGTGTGGATCTGGCAGGTACAGGCGCTCCCTGTGTGGATCTGACGGGCACAGGCGCTCCCTGTGTGGATCTGACGGGCACAGGCGCTCCCTGTGTGGATCTGGCAGGCACAGGCGCTCCCTGTGTGGATCTGACGGGCACAGGCGCTCCCTGTGTGGATCTGGCAGGTACAGGCGCTCCCTGTGTGGATCTGGCGGGCACAGGCGCTCCCTGTGTGGATCTGACGGGCACAGGCGCTCCCTGTGTGGATCTGTTAGGCACAGGCGCTCTCTGTGTGGATCTGGCGGGCACAGGCGCTCCCTGTGTGGATCTGGCGGGTACAGGCGCTCCCTGTGTGGATCTGGCAGGTACAGGCACTCCCTGTGTGGATCTGGCGGGCACAGGTGCTCCCTGTGTGGATCTGGCAGGCACAGGTGCTCCCTGTGTGGATCTGGCAGGTACAGGCGCTCCCTGTGTGGATCTGGCGGGTACAGGCGCTCCCTGTGTGGATCTGGCAGGTACAGGCGCTCCCTGTGTGGATCTGGCGGGCACAGGCGCTCCCTGTGTGGATCTGGCAGGCACAGGCGCTCCCTGTGTGGATCTGGCAGGTACAGGCGCTCCCTGTGTGGATCTGGCGGGCACAGGCGCTCCCTGTGTGGATCTGACGGGCACAGGCGCTCTCTGTGTGGATCTGTCAGGCACAGGTGCTCTCTGTGTGGATCTGGCAGGTACAGGCGCTCCCTGTGTGGATCTGTCAGGCACAGGTGCTCTCTGTGTGGATCTGGCAGGCACAGGCGCTCCCTGTGTGGATCTGGCAGGTACAGGCGCTCCCTGTGTGGATCTGGCAGGCACAGGCGCTCTCTGTGTGGATCTGTCGGACACAGGTGCTCCCTGTGTGGATCTGGCAGGTACAGGCACTCCCTGTGTTGGTGACGGGCACAGGTGCTCCCTCTGAGGATCTGGCAGGTACAGGCGCTCCCTGTGTGGTGGCGGGCACAGGTGCTCCCTTTGAGGATCTGGCAGGCACAGGCGCTCCCTGTGTGGATCTGGCAGGTACAGGCGCTCCCTGTGTGGATCTGGCAGGCACAGGCGCTCCCTGTGTGGATCTGGCAGGCACAGGTGCTCCCTGTGTGGATCTGGCAGGTACAGGCGCTCCCTGTGTGGATCTGGCGGGTACAGGCGCTCCCTGTGTGGATCTGGCAGGTACAGACGCTCCCTGTGTGGATCTGGCGGGCACAGGCGCTCCCTGTGTGGATCTGGCAGGCACAGGCGCTCCCTGTGTGGATCTGGCAGGTACAGGCGCTCCCTGTGTGGATCTGGCGGGCACAGGCGCTCCCTGTGTGGATCTGACGGGCACAGGCGCTCTCTGTGTGGATCTGTCAGGCACAGGCGCTCTCTGTGTGGATCTGGCAGGTACAGGCGCTCCCTGTGTGGATCTGTCAGGCACAGGCGCTCTCTGTGTGGATCTGTCAGGCACAGGCGCTCTCTGTGTGGATCTGGCAGGTACAGGCGCTCTCTGTGTGGATCTGTCGGACACAGGTGCTCCCTGTGTGGATCTGGCAGGTACAGGCACTCCCTGTGTTGGTGACGGGCACAGGTGCTCCCTCTGAGGATCTGGCAGGTACAGGCGCTCCCTGTGTGGTGGCGGGCACAGGTGCTCCCTTTGAGGATCTGGCAGGCACAGGCGCTCCCTGTGTGGATCTGGCAGGTACAGGCGCTCCCTGTGTGGATCTGGCAGGCACAGGCGCTCCCTGTGTGGATCTGACGGGCACAGGCGCTCCCTGTGTGGATCTGGCAGGCACAGGCGCTCCCTGTGTGGATATGACGGGCACAGGCGCTCCCTGTGTGGATCTGGCAGGTACAGGCGCTCCCTGTGTGGATCTGGCAGGTACAGGCGCTCCCTGTGTGGATCTGACGGGCACAGGCGCTCCCTGTGTGGATCTGACGGGCACAGGCGCTCCCTGTGTGGATCTGGCAGGCACAGGCGCTCCCTGTGTGGATCTGACGGGCACAGGCGCTCCCTGTGTGGATCTGGCAGGTACAGGCGCTCCCTGTGTGGATCTGGCGGGCACAGGCGCTCCCTGTGTGGATCTGACGGGCACAGGCGCTCCCTGTGTGGATCTGTTAGGCACAGGCGCTCTCTGTGTGGATCTGGCGGGCACAGGCGCTCCCTGTGTGGATCTGGCAGGCACAGGCACTCTCTGTGTGGATCTGTCGGACACAGGTGCTCCCTGTGTGGATCTGGCAGGCACAGGTGCTCCCTGTGTGGATCTGACGGGCACAGGCGCTCCCTGTGTGGATCTGGCAGGCACAGGCGCTCCCTGTGTGGATCTGGCAGGTACAGGCGCTCCCTGTGTGGATCTGGCGGGCACAGGCGCTCCCTGTGTGGATCTGACGGGCACAGGCGCTCTCTGTGTGGATCTGTTAGGCACAGGCGCTCTCTGTGTGGATCTGGCAGGCACAGGCGCTCCCTGTGTGGATCTGGCAGGCACAGGCGCTCTCTGTGTGGATCTGTTGGACACAGGTGCTCCCTGTGTGGATCTGGCAGGTACAGGCACTCCCTGTGTTGGTGACGGGCACAGGTGCTCCCTATGAGGATCTGGCAGGTACAGGCGCTCCCTGTGTGGTGGCAGGCACAGGTGCTCCCTTTGAGGATCTGGCAGGCACAGGCGCTCCCTGTGTGGATCTGGCAGGTACAGGCGCTCCCTGTGTGGATCTGGCGGGCACAGGCGCTCCCTGTGTGGATCTGACGGGCACAGGCGCTCTCTGTGTGGATCTGTTAGGCACAGGCGCTCTCTGTGTGGATCTGGCGGGCACAGGCGCTCCCTGTGTGGATCTGGCAGGCACAGGCGCTCTCTGTGTGGATCTGTTGGACACAGGTGCTCCCTGTGTGGATCTGGCAGGTACAGGCACTCCCTGTGTTGGTGACGGGCACAGGTGCTCCCTATGAGGATCTGGCAGGTACAGGCGCTCCCTGTGTGGTGGCAGGCACAGGTGCTCCCTTTGAGGATCTGGCAGGCATAGGCGCTCCCTGTGTGGATCTGTCAGGTACAGGCGCTCCCTGTGTGGATCTGGCAGGTACAGGCGCTCTCTGTGTGGATCTGGCAGGTACAGGCGCTCCCTGTGTGGATCTGGCAGGCACAGGCGCTCCCTGTGTGGATCTGGCAGGTACAGGCGCTCCCTGTGTGGATGTTGCTCCTGCCTCTTCTGTTTCCCCCGACTCCTCTGAGAGTGAAAACCCAGGGACATTACTAAAATGTGTTTTTTATCTAAAATATTAGATCAAATGTTTTTTTCTTTATTTCATTTTAAAGCAGTTTGGATATAAAGAGACCGTCCAGCCCGAGACCGTCCAGCCCGAGTCCGTCCAGCCCGAGACTGTCCACATTCCATCTGCCCAGCATGAGTCTGTCCACGTCCCGTCTGCCCAGCGAGAGACTGTCCACGTCCCATATGCCCAGCGAGAGACTGTCCACGTCCCGTCTGCCCAGCGAGACACTGTCCATGTCCCGTCAGCCCAGCCAGAGTCTCGTCCCACCGAGACAGCCCAGTCAGGGTCTCGTACCGCCGAGACAGCCCAGCCAGGGTCTCATCCCACCGATACAGCCCAGCCAGGGTCTCTCCCGCCGATACAGCCCAGCCAGAGTCTCGTCCCGCCGAGACAGCCCAGCCAGAGTCTCATCCCACCGAGACCGACCAGCCGGAGTCTCGTCCCACCGAGACCGCCCAGCCGGAGTCTCGCCCCGCCGAGACCGCCCAGCCAGAGTCTTGTCCCACCGAGACAGCCCCGTTAGAGACTGGTCGTGCCTCATCTGCCCCTAATCCGGGGATTCACCCCAAATATTTTTTTTTTTTTGGCCCACATTTGGGCCAAATCACCATAAAGGAATCCGGAGCTGGCCCAGTTCTGGTGCAGATGAGGTAAAAACGGAGCCGTGCCGAAATTGGCCTGTTATGCCAAAAGACAGAGAACTTACAACGTGTCTGGGCCAGATTAGAGGTGGGTAAGATTTGTGAACTTTATTAAGCGACGAATATCTCAACTGTTATAGACTAATACGACTCCATTGAACAACGTGGGACGAACGTCCTGAAAATGACCACAATAGGTGACACTATAATGACACCAGAGGTGAATGAGACTTTTTCTTCGCTTTATAGATATCCTCATACATTTCTAACAGATTAATCTTCATAATAAGAGAAATAATTTTTGTATTACACTTTGTCTAAAAAATTAAATAAAATATGCAAATGAGGCAATATCTCATAAAGACATCTCATTAAATACTTTAATAAGATATCTCATTATTAATGAGATATCTCATATTTTAAAATTATCTCATTAAAGACTTTCGTCCCGTTAGAGATTTTGGAACACATCACATGTTGTTCAATGGGGTCATATTAGTCTATAAAAGTTGAGATATTCTCCGCTAAATGAAGTGCATACAAATCTTATTACTCAGGACCTACTGTAGACTATTAGAAAAGAGTTGAGGCGAGTGTAAACCAGGTGTAAACACTATGTTGAACACAAGATGGCGCTAAAATCATAATGCTTTTCTCATCTAAACACAAATAAAGCAGTAGGCCAATTATTTGACTGAAAAAACTTTAAATTCCTCTGAATAATTCAATCCCTTTAAAAAGAAAATGTTTATCCTCGTTATATAGGCCATTTAAAAGTGTTTCAGTTTTTTAGATCTAAATTACTTACATTACATTGGGTCTTGACTCGTGTTCCAAACGTAGTAAAGCCATTTAATCAAGGCACATTAAAAACGTAAACAAATAATTTCAGAGAGTCCTAAATCTGTGAAGCAGTGACGTGTGCGCGTGCGCGCTGCAGGGTGGAGTTTAACCCACCGCCTCAGAGCAACGGTGCAGAAATCACTTCTGACATTAACGTTACACACACCAGCGTTTACTCAACGGGGACCTTCTACTGGGGGACACTGGGACAGGGGTTGGTAAACTATTGGTTATTGTCCGAAGGTGGACAACTAGAGATCGAAGAAACCCGAGGTAAGAACAAAAACCTCTTCCCTTTCCTAACTTGACAGACTTGAGCTAAAGCTGCTAAACTTTTTCAAGGGTGGGAAGTTTCCTTCCGATGCGAAGATATTTAAAACTCAAGATATGATAAACAATACCACGCTGAATTGAGGCGTTAAACGAGATTTGGACTTTTTAAAAGCCTTATTTCGACGGTTGTTCTTGAGACGCGGTGAATAAGTCTTTAGACGCGACCTTAGCACATAAACGTTGACTTTTTCCCTCTGAGAGACTCGGGTGAATATGCTCGGTTCTTGTATAACGGAAGAAACCAAGGTGGGGCGTCTGACTCTAAAAAAGCGCTATTAAAGTAGTTAACGTTACTTTTGGTAGTTCCCATAAGTGATTGATTTTGGCCTACATTTGTGTAAAGTGTAACAGACGCACGTCACGGAAGGAATGAAGAGCGCGAGAGAGACTGTAACTGTAAAACTTCAGTGAAAGCGCGCGGCCTACAGAGATTTCGCGTGGACGCGCTCATCACTTCAGTGCACAGATGATGATGGGCTGTTATCCCTGTCATGTTTCTAATGGGAATCATGCCTAAACACACTAAAATGTCAGTTTATTCCATATGCTTATGTTGACTTTGGAGTTGTGTTGGTTTGATGCTTCTCTTCTGCAGTGTGTGTGAGATGTGAAGTGTGTGTTGATAGAGGAAGTAGAGCTGAGGAATATGCGCCCTCAGGCAGGGCATAACTGAGCTCACATCGGGTGTGGTGTGTGTGTGTGTGTGTGTGTGTGTGTGAGAGAGAGACTTGCAAACTGCAGGAAGAAGCATTTGCATGCGATTACTGAAGTTGTTTCTCATTCTATCCAGGATTGAACCTCATTATTCTCTCATATTCTGCGGAAGATATTGCACTAGTTCTGTCAGCATGTTGATGACACTGAGGGAATGAGCCAAAGGCTTCTGCTCTGAGCAGCCGTGTGTGTGTGTGTGTGTGTGTGTGTGTGTGTGTGTGTGTGTTAGTGCTTGAAAGAGCATTCAGTTCATTTACATCTCAGAGTCACAGTTCTTGTTTGGACAACCCGATCATTTGTGAAGTAGTAAATGGGTTAAAAGATCCCACACCAAGATCCCACACCTGACATGGAATAATGCTTAAAAAATGCTTTGAAATTGAAATTTTTAATAAATCTTTAGACAAGTTAATCTAAATGACAATCAAACATTTGTTTTATGTTTTGTATCAAATGTGATGCATCAGGCTTTCATGGTTCATATTAACGAGGATATGAAACTCACTCCTGAGGAGACAAAAATCCATTAATTCATATGCAAAATATGGTACAGTTATTTATATGGTCAAAAATTAAGAAATTCTGAAATCTTGTGGTGTAAATCATGCACTACTTGCATAAAATGCATCAGTTATCATGTCTGCCAGTAAGATGATATTTCAATGCTTAGTTTTATGATCAAAGTTGCTTAAAAGATTGACTCACATTCGCATTTTAACATGTTTTTTTTTTTCTAAAAAAATAATAATAAATGATTATGGATAACTAGGTAAATGTTGCTTCTGTTCATCTTGAAATCCTGAGAACAATATAAAAGTGAATCTTACGTAAATATCAATAAAGATTTCATAGCAAAAAGACACATCAAATGACAATTATACTAAAAGGCCTTTTACTTGCTAAAAAGTATAAACTATCGAGAAGAAAGGTGGCGTGTAGTAGATCGAGTCAAACAACCTTTTAGTTTTCAGCAACATTGTTAATGTAGAGACTTTAGAAATTCATGTCAGATATGAGACAGTGTTGAGCGTGTCTTGTTCCGCTCTGGACAAGGATGCCTCCATATGTTTCCTGGTATTGTTGTTGTCCTCATTAAAACATAAGACATGTCTCGTCTGTGGTGTTCTTTATTAAACAGCAGCACACACTCACTCACTCTCTCACACACTCAATCCCCTTTCACACAGAGATTCCGGAAAATAGACGGATAATGTGACCCGGCATTGTTTGATTTCGGTTTATTCATTCACACTGCCAGTGATTTGCCTGGATCTGTGAGTGCGTTCACACACAACCCTTAAAGATCCCGTAAAGACACATGACATCAGGATGAGACGTGTAACGCATGCGTCGAAAACATGTACACGCACATACTGTTCCACAAAGCTGGTGAACGATCTCATCGCGGATAGTGAGGAGCTCCTGGTCTCTGCTTTGGTCCAGTTTGCAGACATTTGTTCGTCCTTTATTTGTTGATGACGAACACAAACTTTCTTCTAAGAGCTACAGAGACTCGCAATGGCACGAGCGTCATATGACACACCCCTTACGGCATTGGTCCTGGCTTTTGTTCACACAGCGCGTGTTCCAGGACTGATTCCGGCAATGTTACTAGGTCCCCAACCCGGGACATAGTAATTGGCATCAATGCCAGTATCAATCTCAGGTCGTGTTTGCGTTCACACAGAAGGCGTTCTGGCAATTTCCCGGGATCAACGCACTGTGTGAAAGGGGCTTCACTCACTCACTCACTCACTCACTCACTCACTCACTCACTCTCACTCACTCACTCTCACACATACACTCTCTCACACACTCACTCTCACACATACACACACTCTCAGTGCAGTGACTGCTGTGTGCAGACGGGCTCCATGCGGGCAGCAGTGTGTTTCTCCTCACTCACCCCACAGTGCAACAAGCCTGCCATTGAAGGCACTTAGGGCAGTGCTGTGGTGGGCTTCAGAGGAATGAAGGCAGTCTTTGTGTTCAGGGTCTGAGAGGGTGTAGAGACATGTACATGATGACCTGTTCGTCCAGATAATTCTGATCAGCCCACAGTCGGACGCTTCACAACGGTCTCCATGGTTTAAGACTGAGTGGGATGTCTTAAAGGGACAGTTCACCCAAAAATGGACATCCTGTCCTCATTTAATCACACTCATGTTGTTCAAAACCATAACTTTCATTCATCCTTTGCGTCAAGCAAGCGATATTTAATGTGTTTTATCAGTGTTTATTTGTGACTTGAATTAAGGGATTACTTTTACGATGTCTTTATGATGCTTTAAAGTTTTTTGTGAATGGACTTAATTTGACTTGGACTTTTCATTCATTTTTGTTTCAAGGATGAACAAAAGTCTTTTGGGTTTGGAGGGTGAATAATAATCATTCCCGCTGTGGCTGTCATATATTAATCAGAGTTTCTGCGCTGCGATTGGTCATGAAGTTGTCAGTGATGATGTTGCTCATGTGGCATTATCATTATTGCAAATATTGATGCATAGCTTGTTTTCATATGACGGCACGCCACTGCGTTGCCATGGCGTGAAATACAAATGGAGGGCAGGAAGTGATTTGGTGTATTAAGAAAGCACTATGACAAACTCAAAATGCCTGTGTTTTGAGTCATTTATGGTTACTTGAATCGATCAAACCACTAGGAGTTTTTATCGTGTACCAAAAGTTGTTGTTCATAAGGGGGGAAAATGCAAGAAATTGATCGAAAAACTCTGGAAAAATGGCTTGCAAACCTATGTCTGCGGTCGGGAGGAGCCGAATGGAAAAATGCGTGTGTGTAACGTTAGTGATCACTTCTTCAAAGGTGAGTTAATACAACTTAAGTGACTGTGTAACGTGTAACGTTTCTGAACTTTGTAAAGTCAAACTATGTCTCAAAGACGAGGTAGTTGCTGATATCTACCGCCTCGATGGCAGGAAAATATTTCAATTCAGTTGAAAAATCGCTCCTCTTCATAACGTAAACATCACGTCCAACACGTTTGAATTTTTTGTTTATTTCTTTCTCTTGTAATAGCGTGTAAAGTAGTACAGTACGGACTTTCCTCCATCTCGACCATTGAGCTTCTCACTCCCTGCCCTCCATCTGAATTCTGCGCGTCATCTTAATCACGTGACTGAAACCCTAATTGGCTAATTTCAGTCCATTGAGCACACTAAGTCATTTGAACTACTTGTATATACCTTGACATCTTTTATGTGTGTGTGTGTGTGGTTATTTTGAAGCTCCTTTTCACTTCCACTAAATGTAAAAGAGTGACCAGTACATCCTTTTTCTTTTGTGTGCATGGGTTTTTCATATTAGGATGAAGTATCCTTTAACCAAGATTTCAGTCCTTTAAAGTCCCCCTGTAGTCATTTTATCCTTTAAAACTCATCACCAAAATTACATATTAAAAATTCTTCATGACTTAAAATGTCTTGAATACCCTTGAATACTCAACACCCTCATTTAGTATACACGGTTCTATGAATATGTAAATGAGCCCCGTCTCCACTCGCTCAGCTCAGAGATCGTCCGTTGACGATCACACTTTGATCCGATTGGTTACAAGTTAATTTGTGACGTCGGAAACACCAGCGATTTCACACCGCGTTTCACCGTCTTTGGTTCACTGCAGTTTAAGCAGAAAATTCTCAGCAATGCTGTCGACTGATGAATTTACTCATGGTTTGTCTTAATGCACATTAGTTAGACATATAAGCAACATTAAAAGCTGGATTGTCACCACAGGGGACTTTAAGCAAAGAAACTCCATAGTAATTATATAGTAACATGGTAACTTACTCAAGAGACTTGTGCTGAATTCTTCTGGAAGAACAGGATGTGCTCCGTCATTCCCTGGGGAAGAACTACAGTAACACTCGAATCAACACACACATGAGCAATGGCTCCACATTCACAGTGGAGCATGTCTTTATACTTTAAAGTTAAAGATCTTGCGGCAACTGTTATTGTGTCTTTTTAACAGTCGGTCAGCCATGCTGTCTTTTTGCATTTAATCATTGATGAAATCAGTTACACTAATTGTACGATTCCCACAGATTGGTGTAGTAAATGCTGGAACATGTTTGGCCATATGCATAGGTGACAGGTGCTGGATTTACACACGAGCACTCGCGAGGTGGCCTACACTCGCTCCCGTTTAGGAGATCTGATTCTGGACCGCTAGTTTGTTTCTCCTGCCAGTATTTGGAAGCAGCCATATTTGGTCAAAGCAACTTGGTCTGTTATTCCAGTGGCAAGAGAAATCATTTGGAGGCCAATTCTATTGCCTCAGCCTCTAAAACAGTGACACAGTCTACTTAATCCATAATGCTGATGAATTCATTGGCTGGAATGTCTTGTAATGCCAATTAACCCCATTAAATTGACAGTGAACAATCGTCTTGGAGAAGGCTGAGACACACACATACTAGCCATTCTGTCAAGTGAAGCTAAATTAGCTTGAAACATCATAAGTAGATCTCAAATGAATAGCTGGCACTATTGCCATAAAGTGATTTTTTGTTGTTGTTTCTGAATAGTCATTTGAAGGATGTTTGCTGTTGACTGATGGTAACATGAGATTTTAAACTTGCATGATGACGCATTATAGCAGCAAAGGAAGAAGACGTGAAGTCCAGATACAGAGCCCATAAAGATATAGATGGTATAAAATGGAAAAAAAAAATGACAATAGTACATAAATTCTAGGGCTGGGTATTGACACAAATTTCACGATTCGATTTCGATTCAATATCGATTATTTTGGATATCAGTTACAATAAATGGCAAATTTTCTCAAGGAAATCAAATCTCTTAACTAATGCTGTAAACTATGGGAGTCTAGTTGTAGCCTACTAGGCTTTATTAGCCTAATATGAAGGTAATAATTAACTGTTTTGTAGCTATAGAAACACTTAAATTACACTTATTTATTTTTATAATAATAAGATTATATGAAATATAAGCATTTAAATGGTGGCTGTCATAAAAACTTGCCAGATTTATTCAAATATGCATTAAATATTGAAGAACATAAAGATTATAATGCAATATGGTGTATATATTAAGCAAAATGCTCCTCTCTGGAGTTATTTTTTCTAGCTGACTAACGAGTTTATGTGGGTTTTCTGAGGTAAATATGACGATACATGACATTGATTACAAGCTGTTTAACTGACGTCTTTCCACGGTTGAAACGCTGATTTAGCGAATCAATGTGACATGATCCAGATTTCAATAAGTTGTACTCTATCTTTTAACACACTTTCAGATGCTCATTCATGTTTATTTTGCGCTGTAACTGGAATTATTAAGCCAGAGCGATCTCATGCCACAGCGCCAAAACGTTATTTATGTTTTGAAAATTCTAAAGAAAATAACGTAATTTAAAAATTGAGACTTTGTTTCATATCAATAGTAACAAAGTACAAAGATTATTGCGATTTTTGGATGCGCGCAGCCGTGATACAATGTTCCATTCATTCAAATGAAACAGGATGACTAATCGATTCTTGAGATTTAAGAATCGATATCGGTTCGTAAAAAATGAGAATCGATTAATATCGAGAAATCGATATTTATTACCCAGCCCTAATAAATACAGACACAATTTTCCACTAAGTACAATAACAGAGGATCGCACAATCAAAAAATGAACTAATTAGACCAATTAAAAGTGCTGAAGCATCCGTCCAGGTAACCACATCAAATACACAGCAGTGGAAGACCTTGATTGAAGGAATACATTGTCATTACAATCCGAATATTTGATTTATTTTCTGAAATCGATACAAAACACGTAGTAATTCAAATATCTCTACATCTCATTATAGGAAATCAGACTAATCGAATTCTTTATTCAATTTATAAATCCACAATGCTTCTCGCTGCAATAATCCACCTCCTCTATTACCCCTTTTCCACCAAAAAAAGAACTGGTTCAGAACTGATGCTGGTTCAAAGTTGGTTCGGAATTGGTTCAACTTGCGAACCCGTTCAGAACCTGTTTGTTTTTCCACTGACTAGAGCGCCCAGGGAACGACGTCGTTACGTCACTGTGCACGGCGCTAGAAACGCTTGCAAGTACATTGCTTTGGGATTATCTCTAACTCGTTTACCAAGAAAACTTTAAAAACAATTGAAATATGTCTTTTAATCTTTTCGTTTGATATGTAATCTTTTCTGATAAGTTATGTACCCCTGTCTTGTGTCTTTTTTCTTTCCATTTATTTGTTCTATATCGTGACTGTTTTCTTAAATAAAATAAAAAACTGTTTCTGCAGTTTCTCCTGGCTTTGTGATGGTTAGAAAAGATATTTAGAATACATCTAAACCCGCCCCAGCCCCCGACGTAAACATGACGTGCTAAAAGAACGGTTCTAGTCCAGCAAAGAGTTGGTGCCGCTTTGGAACCAGTTCTCCTGGCCGGTTCTTTGGCTGTTCGCGCGCAGGCACCAGCTCCGAACCGGCTCTCAAAATGCTTTGGTGGAAAAGGGGCTTATGGGATCCTAAGACTTTCCTCTTTCCCGATACATTCCAGTTGTTGGATATGTCCCAGCTCACTGAAAGTCAAGCTAATGCTTGATTTATGTTCTTCAATCTGTAATTTCAATTCTCAAAATGATTTTCTGATTGAAATCTTTTGGCTAAGACACTTCAGAAGAGATTCAGATCGCATTGCATTTGGAACTAGTACAGGTGATAGAAGATTTCATTTTTGTCATTGGATACAATGGACAGTTAATTTGATTACTTTTGATTAAATTCTGCATGGGACACAGCCTTGTGTAAAGCCTTTTTCTAACAACATCCGTATTTATCAGCATATCTGACTCTTAAACAGTGGATTAACATAAGTTGACGTAATAACAGTTGATGACGTGTGATGTGTGTTGATGGTCCTGCACATCTGCAAACATGAGCAT